GTCACTGTGTATGTCAGCCTGGCTCAGTCACTCTGTGTGTGTGTGTCAGTCTGGCTCAGTCACTCTGTGTGTGTATGTCAGCCTGGCTCAGTCACTGTGTATTTCAGCCTGGCTCAGTCTGACACTGTGTGTGTATGTCAGCCCGGCTCAGTCTGACACTGTGTGTGTATGTCAGCCTGGCTCAGTCACTGTGTATATCAGCCTGGCTCAGTCTGACACTGTGTGTGTATGTCAGCCTGGCTCAGTCTGACACTGTGTGTGTGTTAGTTTGGCTGAGTTCTCACCTCTGCATTAGAAGGTTGCGGGTGTAAACCCCACATACAGACTTTGAGCTCACAGTTTAGGCTGACACTCCAGTCCAGATGTGTGGGGGAGCGTTTCATTGTCAGAGATGTCATCCTTCAGATGAAATGTCAACCTGAGGACCTGTTTACCTGTTCAGGTGGATGTTAAATTAGCAAAGAGTAGAGAAGTTCCTCTCTCCCGGTGTCCTGGGCCAACAATCCCCCAGATAAAATGGAGCATTCACTTCATGGCTGTTTGTGGAACATTGTCGTGCACAAATTGCCTGCCGGGTTCGTCAACAAAATACAGTCACAAATTTGGAATTGTTACGGGAAAAATGGTCTAAAACGGGCAAAGCCTGGGTAGAATTTGGCACCTTAAGGAATTGGGAGGGTTTCTGGTGTGCAGGTTCTTCATCACAAGCTTTAATGGGAAGCATGACTGTAAATGGGTTGTTAAATGAATTGTTTTGATGCAAGATTTCCATCCAGTAAAAGCTGGGGTCACCCGACTGGCTTTCTGAGTGGCATTGAACACATGTGCAGAGGTCACTGAAACATGTCTCACTTAAGAGCCATGGACCCTGGGGGACTATTGAAACATCAGATCAGGAACGGCAAGGATGGGGAGGAATTGTCAGCTGCCTGGAGAACGATCCCCCTGGGTCAGGGCCACACCGCGCTCCATAATTGCCAGTAAAATATAATTCATTGAATTTACAAAGTGGTTAACCGGTCCCTCACAAGGAACAGCTGGGCCACTCTGTCCCTGTTGGATGGGCTTAACAGGGTCAAGGAAGATGTTGGAGGTTAAGCTTTTTCTTGCGAAAGCTCCAGCTGGACCAGCAAGCCAAAGCCCTAATGGGTAGGGTGGTCCTAGCTGGACAAGCTACAGGAAAACTTGCCAGGCAGTGATAACAACTGCAAACTATGAGGTGCTAGCTAGATAGATTCCAGCAGTACCCCAACGCACAGTCTGGGGTCACCAAGCCTTGGCTCTTGCCAAACTGCGCCTAATCTTTTCTGGAATTAGGTAAGCAGAATGCAGTGCTATCGCATTTAATACAGTGGCAACTGAAATGAAATAAGCTGCCTTTTCTATATCAAGTTAAAATTTAAAGAGTCACTACACAGATGTCCTCCTGATGTGAAAGGCCTTGTACCAAGTGCAAGGATTATTATTATTAATAATTATTATTTATTATTATTAATAAAGCAAGTCTAATCTTTCACAAAAGAGTCTCTGCCCGCTTACCCCCCATCAGCAGGTTGCCATCAGGCTATTGTTTAGCTTGAGCGTCAACATTGTTTTGACGAGATTGACGTTGGGAATGTAGAAGAGAAAGGTGCCGTTCATTAGAAAAATTAAGTAAAGGAGCCCAGCTTTCATTGTGACAGGCAGATACAAGGAGATCAGATGAGCTTGCATAACGCACTGAATGGCATGATTCACTTAGTACAATCACAAGAGTCTGAACTAATGAGATCTCTCGCTCGCAAAGCCTATTTAATGACAAATTAGTCCAGAACGAGCAAAGAAAGGAGTCTCACAAAACCCCGAAAAACAACTGCAGGAGATTTAAAGAAAAATTTAATTATTATTTAATTTTTTAGGGAAAAAAATAACTTCTAACTAATGACTGGGTCACAAGAGATAAAGAGCTGTGCCTCTAGTTATCTTTGTAATGGCTTTTATAAAGAATTGCAAAAACAGATTAGACAATCCAACAATGGGAGTTATTGTAACAGAGATTTGAAACATCACCTCGTCTTAGTTCAGAGATCGTTAAAGTCGTAAAAAATTCATTTTTTTATGAAAGCCACGTGTCTGACACATACTTAAGAGCATCCAAACCAAGCTGACAATTCCATGCATCCCACCCACACATGGAAATTCCAGAGATAGGTTACTGGAATGGAATGCACAGTCTCTCCCTGGAGGGATGCATCCTGATTACCTAATTTGGGAAATTATTAGGTTGGCAAAAGCCATGGCTTGGGGACCCCAAAGTGTGTGTTGGAGTAACTGCTGGAGTCTAACCAGCTAAAAGCATATACTGCCATTGATAGCATTCTGTGGCCAGCTTTCCCGCTGCTTGTCCAGCTAGGACCACCCTACCCATTAGGGCTTCGGCTTATAGGGTTTAACAGGATCTGAGTGAGATGACTCCCTGCCCTGTGTGACTGGTCTGCCCTCCAAGAGCTGCTGCTGAGCCAGGCTGGCTGCGCGCTGTCATCAACAGTGCTCTGGAATACTGTGGACCCATTTGGCTCAGGAACCGGACTACGAAGTCCGATACAGAGGGCTGGCTCAATTCTAACATTACGTCGCCAAACATGTCACATTGGAGCCAGTTTAGCTCCAGGGGGACCCCACTTACCTCCATGTCAGGTCTTGGAACCCAAGTCTAAGGTGACACTCTAATGCAGTGTTGGGGGGTTGTTGCATTGTCAGAGGTGCCATCCTTCAGTTCAGATTTTAAATCAAGTCCGTATGCCTGTTCAGGTGAATGTTAAAGATCCCATGGCAGTATTCGAAAAGGGAAGGGTGTTTCCCCCAATGTTCTGCCCAACAATCCCTCAAACAAAATTGGTCACTTACTACACTTCACGGCTATTTGTGGGACATTACTGTGTGCAAATTAGCTGCCACATTACCCACGCACCCACATATCACACCACGTTACCATAAAATCCTGTTAAGCACTTTGAGCCGCTCAATGAAGTGATAAGGCTTCATTATTATTATTATCATCAAATGCAAGGATTATTATTAGTAGTAGTAGTATTTATTTCAAAGCTGTGCATGAGACATCTCCATCTCTCTATTGGCCGGGGCAGACACCGCTCACACCCTGAAACAGACTCCATAGATAGTGTCAGCCTGGATTCTGAGCGCAAGGCCCCCTTGTGGGGTTCTAACCTTCTGACTTGGAGGCAAGAGTGTTACTGACTGAGTCAGGCTGACACCTAAACATTGCCCCCGTGGTATGTACCTGCACGGCATATGAGACGAGAGGCAGGGAATAAAGCAGAATAATATGTCTTGTCTGAAAGGCCCTGTGAGCAGTCAGTGAGGTGGAGGTTGTGGGCTGACAGTAAATGCTGACGGATTGTGGTAACCTCCGTTTCCCACTTTATTGCTTTCTGGGTCAGTGGTTCATATCCCGAGAAGCATTAGCATATCAGTCTTACTGAGGAAGCAGTGGTGTTATCTTTCACTGTGCGTTATAGCTTTGCAGTGACAGAACCAGTCGGGGATTCATGCAGAACTCCCTGACTGAATGAAACACATGGCTAGGATGGGGTCTGGAATCGTTCCACTCAGCTCCTGCTAGCCAAAGCCCTAATGAGTGTAATGGTCGTAGCCGGACAAGCAGCAGGAAAGCTTGTCAGACAGCAATATCAATGCTAAGTTATGTTGGTTTTAGCTGGTTAGAATGCAGCGGTTACCACCAACACACACTCTGGGGTCCCTGAGCCTTGGCTCTTGCCAAGCTGCGCCTAATATCTTCTGGAATTAGGTAAGCAGGAAGCATCCCTTCGAGGAGAGAGTGCACATTCCATCCCAGCCAAGCAAAACATTATATGGAACATTTTGGTTTGGAGACGATGATGGCTGAACACAGTGATGGGTTTCCGTGTGTGTCAACCACCCGGCTGATCACAACGATGGGTTTCCGCATGTGTTCTGACTCAGAGCCAAGAGTGTTAATGACCGAGCCAGGCTTTGGCTGAGGCGTTAAACCACTGGAAGTTGACGAGGGATGAAAGGCGGGTGGTTCCTGTTCTGTGTGGCTCAGTTCTATGTGATGTATTTGTACGGCTGATATAAAGAGACAGTCAGAGAGATGGCATTTGGCAGACGTGATGGAGCAGAGCATTGCGCAGAGCTCTCAGTGGCTGTGTGGAAACTTGATTCTCTCCTGACAGATGGTGGATGAATGTGAAATGTGGTTTGCCCCCCCCCTCCCGCGGACCTCACTCCCGTGGTGCGGGGCAACCAACAGGGAGGCAGTGAACCCTGACTGTAAACCACAGGAGACTGCTTCATTTGTGTAACACTCCCAATACTGCACCAATCCGACTCCGCGCATCAATAACCTTCACGTAACATTTCACTAACAGGGACAGTCAAGGACGGGAGGTGTCAACCGCAGGAGCGCGCTCCCTCCATCAAGTTCGCTAGCTGCTCGTTAAGAGCGACATAGTATGTACTCTGATTAAATGGCTAATGAGAGAAGCTATGTCGGATATTGCTGACTCCCTCCTGCACATTAAACCGGCCACCTCAAACAGAGGGTTGGCACGTTACAGTAAAAACTGGGCACCAGTATCGCTCTCTCTCTCTCTCTCTCGCTCTCTGTCTGCTTGCTTGCGGAGTCCTGTAGCTCAGTGGTTAGAGCACTCGCTTTGCAAGTGAGAGACCGGAGTTCAATCCCAGGCAGAGGGCGAAACCTTGGGTAAGTTTCCTTACTCCACACACCTGATAATAATCCCTCCAAAACCAAAACCAACAATAAAAAATTGGTCATTTTCAATCTACGACTGTTTGTGGGACATTGCTGTGCGCAATTGGCTGCCGCGTTCACCCACAAATATACAGTCAATTCACTTTACAGTGTGCTCTGTGAAGCGCTTTGCGACGTCCTCCCGACATGAAAAGCGCTATATCAAATGCAAGGATTATTATTATTATTGCTTGCGTGTGTACCCCTATACCTCTACCTCACAAGATGTAAAGTGTAGTGACTGCGTATCTGTGTAGGTCTTTCATGGCTCCGTTCTTTGCAGTTTTCCCGGCTTTGCTGAGCGCCATTCCTGCTGGCCTGCATGTCACTGTGCTCCTGCTCTCGGCCTCTCTCATCACCTTCGCTCTGCTCGCTGCTGCCTTCTCTGTGGTCAACGCCTTCGGCAGCCCGTATGAGACCCTCCACGGCACCACCGGCCTGTACCTCTGGAATTTCATCGCTGGTGAGTTCCTCAGATCGGTGGGGGGGTGGGAGTGGGGACGGGAGAGACCAATATCGCTGCGAAGACTAAATTCCACTGTTGTCATCCACAGAGACAGAGAGAGAGACACAGACAGACAATCAGGCACATAGTCACAGACAGACAGACAGACAGACAGACAGACAGACAGACAGACAGACAGACAGACAGACAGACAGACAGACAGACAGACAGACAGACAGACAGACAGACAGACAGACAGACAGACAGACAGACAGACAGACAGACAGACAGACAGACAGACAGACAGACGAGCCTCCGAATGGAAAAAATAATAATCATCCTTATTTGATACAGGGCCTCTCAAAGCACTTCACAGAAATTAGTGTAAAGCGTAGTGACTGTGTGTTTTGCGGATGAACATTCTCTGTGTCAGAATCTGGTTTTATTGGCTGAGCTCAGGCCAGGCTCTGACACAGAATACTGAATAAGCATCCTCCCATCCCGATATCCCCCCCAGCTCCCCCACAGCTGGCTTGGGCTCAGTCGGTCGCACTTTCACCTCTGAGTCAGAGATGGTGAGGCCGCGTCCTTCATTAATAATAATAATCCTTGATTTGATATAGCGCCTTGTTCAGTGTTGGAGTCCGTCGCTTGGTTACATAGTTGTAACCGCTTGTGTCGTCTTCAAATCTTCATGGCCTGGCACCTCTCTACTTCGTCCACCTGCTTACCCCTCAACGCCTTACCGGCTGCCTCTGCTCGCCTGGCTCAGGCCTCCTGCTTGTGCTCTCCGTTCCACCAGTGGCGGCCAAGTTTTCAGCCACTACTCCCTGAAACTCTGGAACACTCTTCCTCTATCCCTCCACTTTGCCCCTTCATCCTCCATCTTCAGTTCACGACTGAAGACCTTCCTCTTCCGACTGTGCTTACAGGCACCCCCCCTTCCCCTTGGCTCGGGTCAGGCTCCAAGATGTTGCCCACATGAACGGCGATATATAAATGCAAGCTGTTGTTGTTGTTGCTCGGCTGACTCAGCTGTTCCCCACTGCAGGTTGCTGTGGTTTGCTGGTGATGATATTATTCGCCGCCGAGGTCAAAGTGCAGCGGCTGTCGGAGAGAATCGCCAACCACAGGGAGGAGCAGTTTGTCTTCCTGACGCGGGCCGAGGCCTTCAGCTTCTCCTTCTGGCTGCTCAGCGTCTGTGCCTCCCTGCACTGTGCCAGCGCCTGCCTGCTCACACTGTCTGGTGCACGGCTGCCCTTTCCCAAGGCTGCCGGGACGGGGGCCGGGGTCGGGGGAGTGGAGCTGATGTACTGAGCCTCCCCCCCGCCCAGGCCTGGCAACATGATAAACAGGCCTCTGTTTACTGTCACGGGAGGTTGCAAGTGCAAAAAGCACCTACATCTGCACGTGCACAAACACAAGCGCGTGCACACTTACACATAACCACGCATGCAAACATGCACGGGTACATATACAAACCTGCACACACATATTCGTGTACCAACACGCACACTTCGCTGCAGCTGCGGCTGAGGTTTCACTTCGATCCTCACTGATAAGAAGTGAACGGACAGGTGGTGAGTTAATGTAATACTCGGGATGGAAGCGCTCGCTCAGTTTGACTATCAGGCACATTGTGGTTTCTGAGCTGCAGCCTTACTGTAAAGGTATGAATATTAAATGAGACACATTAACACAGACAAGAAATGACTCGATTGATTCACGTGCAATGGGACACTCTACTCAGACAGACTGTGTCAGGCTGAGTACTTTCCTGACCTTGAGTTTAGGAATAAAAGCGAGGGAAATTGTCATTTTTATCAATACCCACAGTCACACCACGTTAGTTTGTTACAGTGGGTCATGTTAAAAAAATGGCCACTGATCAGCACTTCCAGGTGATCAGATCTGATCGCTGATGTCACTTCTTGTGAGCTCTGTATCCCCGGATTGAACAGACAACAACAATAACTTGCAATTACACAGCGCTCTTCGTGCACTCAACGGTTGTAGAGCTTGACTCCAAGTTCGGGAGACACGGAGGAAGAGAAAGGTCTGATTATTATAACAACAACAATAATAACCCTGCCAATAAACACCCGCGTTATAAACAGACTCGCAATATCGACACACATTCTATACCAGGATCCAATTGTAACAGTTCTGACAATGTACAATCCTCCTATTTGATCGCTTTAAAATGTCTCACAACATTTCAGAGTTTGCTGTTTTTACTCGTCATTATGTTTATAGGCAAACGCAGCAATAAATTAGCACACAGCAACAAACATCAATTTATATTTCACAGGTCAGACGTACAACATTTCGCAGCGCCTCATAACATGAGGGGAAGGTATAAATACAGTCACTACACTTGATGGCAATTCCCAGCAAAACACGTTAAGGCATTTGGGTGTTACAGGCAATGGATCGAAATACGCCAACTGTTATTCCTAGCATTGGTTAATAAGTGAATATTATTACCATGGCAATGCATTAGTATTTACAGGCAGGGAATGTAGATCGGGCCTGAAATCCAACCCAACTGCAGCTTCCAGCTGAGGCCTGATGTGTTGGAGAAGAAAAGCTGTGAACACATCTGCATGGGGCTTGTCATTAGGGGCAGGACCTGCGATCACTGACTTCAAACACAAACATTCTTAACTCATTTGAAAAACGGTTAAAAGAGGAACTAAAATGCAATATTTGCAAACCAAATTTATTGGAACGTTAGAATAATATATAAAAATCCTGCATAATACAGTGATTATATAATATATAATAATTAATATATAATAATAGAAATTTGCATTTGAAACAGGCCTTATCAACAACAACAACAATAACAACAAAATTACATTTGTAAAGCGTCTTTCACATCAGGAGGGCATCCCATGACATCTCAATGCACTTCATACACCTTTTATTGTAAAGTGGAGTGACTGTGTGTTTGTAGATGGATGTGGAAGCCCAATTGTGCACAGCAATGTTCCACAAACAGCTATAAAACAAATGAACAATTTTATGTGGGGAATGTTGTCGGCCATTCTCTTCTCTTCTCTTTTCAAATAGTGCCATGGGATCTTTAACGTCCACCTGCACAGACACAGATAGAACCTCGGTTTAATTTAACGTCGCATCCTCAGAAGGACAGCACCTATATCAATGCAGCGCACACCCAGCACTGCACTAGAGCGTCAGCCTAGACTGTGATTCCAAAGGGTGACGTGGGGTTTGAACCCACAACCTTCTGACTCACAGACGAGAGCCCTTTCCAACTGAGGCAGGCGGACACTGATGAAATGCTATATAGTTTAAGTTGCTAACTCCAGTTTGAGGGATTGACCTGTCCTTACCCCCCTGGCTCTTTCCTGTATTCTCCCAAATCCCCCTTAGCACATTCTGGTACACAATGGTGAGAGTGCGCTCAATGCGGAGTGAGACAGAAGCCTTGTAATTCACTAAGTGGTCACACGGTGGAGACTATAAACCAAACCTCACAGGAGACCTGAAGCAAATGTCAGTCTTCAGTTACAGATTAGAAAATCATATTTTCAAACACTTTGCGCTGTGCAAACAAACGTGTGTTAATCAGCAAAAGGTAATACAATGCTGAAAACCTGTTGCTCTCCCTTAAATAATCTCTGCATCTGATACAGTGTCTGTAAAGTCGAGACATCTCAAAGCAGTTCCCAGGAATTACTGTAAAGTGCAGGTGACTGTAATATTAATATCTTATATTGCATTAAAAGTTGTTTTACATTATTATATTGCTATATTATAAGTTATTTTATATTATTATATTGTAAGTTGCATTATATTATTATAAATTGTGATAAAGTTATAACTTTATAATATTATAACATTATTGTAAGTTGCAATACAGTAACAAGCTCTAAAACTGAGTTGCGGACACACTTTAGAACAAAGCTGGGTATCACTGCTCACTGTTAACTCTGACCTGGTAAATTGCATACAGTCACCATCTGCCCTGACTCTTGTGTCCCCCACAGTCACACAGCCCTGATTCCACACACACCCTCTCTAACAGCCCTGCCCGAGAGGTGGGGCCAGACTGGGGCTACACTCACACTCAGCTGGTGTCAGAGCAGCGATAGAGACTCACTCACACACACCCTGGTCTGAAACTCACCCAAACTGGGACCTGAGCGACTGAGCAGCGCTGGAGACTGAACTGAGGTGGGTTATACTGAGCTGCGGTGTGCTTGGCATAAATGAATAATCATAATCCTTGCAATTGATATAGCAGCTTATCAACTCGTTGAGACGTTTCAAAGCCCTTCACAGAATAGACTGTAAAGTGGATTGACCGTATTTTGTGTACGAAACACGGCAGGCAATGGCGGCGCACAAAAGGGTCCCGCGAACAGACAAACATTTTTTTTNAGGGATTATTTCCCTCGGAAAGCAATCCGTTAATCGACTAACTAATTGGGTTCCCATTTACTGCTAGGTAAACAGAGGTGCGTGGAGTAAGGAAACTTGACTAAGATTTGGAGCAGCCCAGGAATCAAATTCTATCCATCCCACCTACACGTGGAAATTCCAGAGATAGATTGTATGCGCACTCTCTCCCTGGGGGAACGCATCCTACTTACCTAATTCTGGAGAGTATTAGGCACAAGTTGTTAAGAGCCAAGGCTTGAAGTAACTGCCAAAGTCTAGCTAACTAGCTAAAACCATATAGCTTGCCATTGAGAGCACTGTCTGTGTAATGCATTACAATTGCCGTTTACGACAGAGTGGGAAAGAGTCAGTGTGTGTCTCATGGCCCAGCTGTATCCAGGTAACCAGGGATCAATTACAGGTGGTGATTTGCAGGTTATTGACTGATAACCCACACCAGAAGCTTCTGAGAGTGTTTAAACACTGTTAAGTGGCCCCCTTAAACCATAATAAATCACAAAACAAAAAATAAATGCTGCCGTGAATGATCATCCGCCACTGGGAAGTGGACTGGATCGCTCGACTATCAGCGGTCATGCCTTCAGCCTCTCTGCCTCTACCCTCTAGAACTCCATCCCGGAGTTGCTCCACCTCATCTCCTCTCTTGTCTCCTTTAAGGTTCGTCTCAAGACTTTTTTCTTTGAAGGTGCCTTAAGCCACCTTCCGGTCCCCATCCCCTCTTGCCTTGTACCCCTCCACACCCCCAGCTCGGGTGCAAACCCTTGACTCTCCAGCACTTTGGGACATCCTTCTGACCTGAAAAGCACTAAATAAATATAATTACTTGTTGTTGTAATATAATAATGAAACCCAACTCAGACCATGTCCTCTTTCAGTGAGAGTAAGGATTGACTGCAGGCTGTTTCTTGCTGTGATGACTGCAATAACTTGCCTTTACACACAGCCTCTTACAGGGTATCCTGTGAAAAGCTTGAGCCTTTTCATGCCTAACGCGAGCACAGCGCTCGGTGAAATGTTGAAGGTTTAAGACATAGAATCTGAGTCTTTGTGTGTGTTTGCACATCATAAACTAATCACCCAGCGAGGCACCAAACAAACACGTCTTTGTTGGCAGACATGCCAGGATTAGTTGGCATATACAGCTTTTCTACAAGATCACAAGTTTACTACGGATGAAGAAGGTCTTTTGGCCAATTTGATCTCATCTTTCTAGAAACCCACCCCACCCTCTCCCATCACAGCTTCCAGCACCCACAGCGCTAGAATAATATTAATCCTTGCATTTGATACACCCCCGTCCTCCCATCATGTTGCGATGTCTCAAATGCTTCACAGAATATACTGCAAAGTGAACCATATAATGAGTGGATGTAATATAATATAATGAGTGGATCAGGTGTTGAGTGAAGCAGGACAGATTCAGGTTGGTGAATGGAGATTCAAAGTAAAGCTACCTACACTCTGTCCCGAACACACCCGGGCTCAGTTGGTTGTACTCTCGCCCCTGAGTTGTGGGTTTAAACCCCATGTCGGGATTCGGAACTCATATAGTCTCTAGTGCAGCGTTGGGGGAGTGCTGCAGCGTCGAAGGTGCTGTCCTTCAGATGAGATGTTAAACCGAGGTCCCGTCTGTGCCTATTCAAGTGAATGTTAAAGATGTCATGGCGCGATTCAGAAAGACAAGAGAGTTTCTCCCAGTGTCCTAGCCAAGAATCTCCCAACCAAAATTTATCACTCCATGTCTGCTTGTAAGATATTGTTGTGTGCACATTGACAGACAAAACACATTACACTTTACAGGATTTCTTGTGGAATGCTTTGAGACGTTCTGACAATGCGATAAGGGATTATATCAAATAAAGGATAATAGTGTTCTAACACACTGGGCAATCTTGGAACAGCGACCTCTGCTTCACCACTTGGTCATTTGTGATTTCCTACAGTGACCGTTCTAAGTGAGATGACTGGTTGAGACGTGAGTTGGGTGTTGCTTTGTGCTGTGAGCCCACCATGAGCTGGGTAGAGACTATCCCCAACGGACCTTTCACACTCAAGACTTTCATCCCGTCATTCTGGGCTGGGTTCCAGACGATATCCCAGTGCACAAAAGCTGGCTTTGCTGGCACATCGTGTGACCCTGAGCTATTCAATGGCGAAATGCAGAGCAATATCCATATCTTTCTAGAAACCCACCCCACCGCTGCCAGCCTGGCTCACGCTAATATAATAATCAGTTGGCACAAAACCAAATCCCTGTTTGGGAACAGAAATCTGTATCTTCTTCATAGTCCGTGTGGTTGGGTGACAGAGGCAGAGAGCACCAGGTCCCTGGAAGAGGATGAATTATTTACAGTAATCCGATCGAGAGAGAGTGATGGGACAATCCAGGATGTCATCGTGTCAATCCAGCGCTGACATTTCCCCGATCACTGATAAGATCTGGCTTCATAGCTGGCCATCAGTTCTCGGGAGCTGTGTCTGTCGCAAGCTCTTGGCTTCACAGTTACAGAGAGCGCTGCTCACTGTGTTGTGTGTAATAAAAATTTAATCCTTATAATCCTTGCATTTGATATAGCGCCTTATTACATCATTGGGACGTCTCAAAGTGCTTCACAGAATACATTGCAAAGTGGATTGACTCACGGATGGACATGAAGCTAAGTAAAGAACGGGACTCGGGCGAGGGAGACCTGGATGAGATAAATAATAAGATCAGTGAGCTGGACAAGTGGAGGGAAATCTTTAGCCGTCGGGGGTAAGTAGGATGTATTAGTTTAATAACAATAATAATCATCCTTACATTTGACCTAGTACCTTTCACATTGGGAGGACGTCTCAAAGCATAGGATATACCATAAAGTGTAGTGACTGTGTGTTGCTAGCTCTTTCAAGAAAGTGACACTGCTGTAGACTGCGTGGAGTGAGGGGATCATACAGGGATGAGAGGCTGAGGATCTGGAAATGATGGGATTGTATTCGCTGAAGCAGATAAGGAATCTGATCAGACTTTTTCAAAATCAGGCATGTTTTCATAGGATAAATAGATAAATGATCAGGGATTTCCACTGATCAGTGAGTCAGTAACAACAGGGTGCAAGCTGAGAAACAAGCAGAGAAAGGCAACAGTTAGAAGGATGTTTTTGATGCAGAATGTGGAATGCTTTTCCCGTCAACGGCTGCTGAAGCTGAGCCGGTGACTGTCAATAAAAGGGAATTGTATACAAACCTCGGGAAAAATCATATGATAGGGGATTGGGTAAGAACAAGAATAGAGTAGAGATCTTCAGTGGCGGAGCCAGCACTTCACTGATTTTGAAAAACTTCAATCAGATTTCTTGTCTGCTTCAGCGACTACAACGAATGCCATCGTTTGTCAGTCTAGCAAATGGGAGGTTAGGAGAAATATACTCACACACAGAGTGGTTAAGATGCGGAATGCCCTGCAGGGAGCTGTGGTTGAGGCAAAATCCATATTAGCTTTCAAAAGGGGACTAGGTAGATACCTTAAAAGGAGTAAACTACAGAGGGATGGGGAAACGGCAGGTAAATGGGACTGAAAGGATTTCTCTTAACAACGACAACAAGATTACATTTGTATAGGAGCAGCACAGACACAATGGACCTTCTGTTGTGCTGTAAATGTTATGGATCCATGGATGAAATTTAGTCGTCTTTAATTAAATGATTGCTCAGATGTAAGTGTAGTTGATTTTTCCGTGCGTAAACTGTTTACAAGGTGCCGGCTTGCCTGCCTGTCTGGCTGTGATGGATGGATTGCATTTAGTCAGGCCTCCAGTTAATGGGTTTGTTGAGCATAGCAAAGATCAACACTGAACGCATCCAGACAAAGGCAGCTCTCAACACATGGAATGAGGGATGTGCTTGTCGGGGGATGTGGAGTGTAGCAGTGTGACAACAGTAGCTGTGTATCAGGTTTAAACATTGGATCATTCACTCACACACACACACACACCTAATGTTCTCTCCTCATCTCCCAGTTTACTATAGCAGAGATAGAGGAGAGAGGAGGGAGGGGAGGATAATAACAATAATCCTTGCACTTGATATATACATCTCAAAGCGCTTCACATTGTAAATTGGATTGACTGTATTTTGTGAGCGAAACACGGCAGCCAATTGGGCACAGCAGCGTCCAACAAACATTTGTGGATTGAGTAACCAAGTTTTTTTTAAGGATTATAACCCCAGGAAAATGATCCACCAATCAACTAACAACCTGGTTCCTACTTACTGCTAGGTAAACAGAGACGTGTGGCATAAGGAAACTTGCCTAAGGTTTCATCCCGCCTGGGAATCGAACCCAAGTCCTCTCGCTGGCAAAACGAGTGCTATAACCATTACGCTATGGGTTTCCCAGGATGAAGGGAGAGGAGGAGGAAGGGAAGTGAGAGAGTAGAGGGTCAGTGATCCGGCTTTATCCAGTGAGGGTACAGCGAGCGGCGGTGGTTTGGGGACAGGGGAGGAGGGCCAATCGCTTCCTGTTAAATTGTAACATTCCCTTTTTTTCTTGATCCACAGATTGCAGTTCAAAGACACAACACTGAAGGTAAGTGCCTGCAAACAACTCTAATAACACAATATAGTTTCTCCTGGTAGGAGAATCTATAACCAGGGGTCACGGTCTTAAAATTAAGGGTCAGCCTCTTAGAACAGAAACATTTCTTCACTCAGAGGGTAGTGAACTTATGGAATTCACTACCCCAGAAGGCTGTAGATGCTCAGTCCTTGAACAAGGCTGAGACTGATAGATTCTTGAAAAATAGAGGGATTAGGGATTAGGGGATATGGGGATAGGTCAGGTAATCAGAGTTAGGTGAGAATATCAGCCATGATCTTATTGAATGGCGGAGCAGGCACGAAGGGGCAGGAGTAGGCCGATGGGTTTCCGCAGGTGTCAGACACCCGGCTGGCCAAAAAAATAACGATTGACCCACAGGCTGAAACATGCTTTGCTGCAACAAGTTACCATGGAGTGTATTGACTGTAATTGTCGGTAAATTAGGTGATTCAGCAAACGCACACTGGATGTTTGTTACACCCCAACGCACAGGATATTGGGAATCGTGACCGTGTCATAGATTGGAACTGAAAGGCTCACGTGACACACGCAGAAACCTGTCACCGTGACCAGCCTGTGTCTGACCCACGCAGAAACCCATATCCGTCATCAGCTGGTGTCTGATGCAGACGGAAACCATTCAGCATGCTTCAGTCTCTGAACCAGACAGAGAGTTCCTTGAGTTCCACGGGTGGTACGGGGCAGAGGAAACTCAGAGTGTGAGCGGAGGAGGTGGAGAGGGATGTGTGGGGGAGGGGAAAGAGACAATTAGCGGAGAGGATGGGCGAAGGGATTTGTTAATTAAGGAATCATGTTAAGAAATAGAACAGAGTCAGCACTTGTGTGGCAATTAGTTTGGAGAATGGCAGAACATGCCTCAGAGATGCAGGAACTGAGACGAGGAATCTCCTAATGGGAGGGTGTGGGGGGGAGCAAAGGAGAGTTCGGGGGAGTGGCATTGAGTTCTACAGAGTCACATAAGTTCATCAGTCACGCTGAAGCCCTTCATCCCTGGATCTGGATCCCCTTCAACCTGACTGACAGAGTGAGATGTCTCCCGAATTATCACACGCCACAGAAAAGGCAGCCAGTTCAAAGCCGAGTTACATTGAGCTGCTGCAGGAGGACTTTAACAAAAGCCAGGGTGTGAGTACCGTTCTGTCAGAGAAAGAAAAGAAGCTTCACTTTCATTTGATCTTTACTCTCTCACCTTCTGCCACGTCCCACAGTGGAGATTCAGCCTGGACTGTATTATACACAGTGTCTCTGTAACCGACCGTTACACAGAGGGTCTATAACAAAGTCCAGGAGTGAGACGTTAAACCGAGGTTACATCTGAACCTGTTCAGGTGGATGTTAAAGATCCTGTGACACTAATTGAAAAGAGAAGGAAGTTTCTCTCCCCAATGTCCTGGCCAACAAACCCCCAGATAAAAACAGTCACTCACGCCATGGCTGTTTGTGGAACGTTGCTGTGTGCAAATGTTGCTGCCACGTTTGCCCTACAAAATACCAGATACCACACTTCACGGCTTTTCCTTGTGTTTGGAGATGTCCGGACAGAGCGAGTACCAGCTGCTGTGCTAATCCCTCTCTCTCTCTCTCGCTCTCTCTCTCTGTCTCTCTTGCCGCTCACAGAAGAGTCAGGACAGCCGGCGAGTGGACAGTGATGGGGAAGATGGGGCTGGGCACACGCTCGCCAAGCCTCGCGGTCACGCCCCTGCCTTCTGTGCCCCCTACTCCATCCCGAAGGCATTGTTGGCCCCCACTGGCCGCGGGGGGTCACCTATCACACAGCACACAGCCCTGGTAAGCCAATCCCTCCAATGCCATTCCCCCCCCCCCAATTAGAGATGAAACTTTATAGCATTTAAATAAAGACCCGATGGAATGCAATCCCCGGAGTTTGGTGTCAGTGGCTGCGAGAGACATACGGTGCCCTGTGCAGGACAAAGAGGAAACAAGGAGACGATTGTGTTTGGCGTTTTCCAAACGAGGGCTACAAAACCCACCTGTACGTCGCCTGCCGCTGACAATGCTGCGTCCCTACACAGTCTCGGCAGCCGCTCACGCTCACTTCAGTGGCTGCTTCCTGCAACAGGAAGGGAATTGTGAGATTAACACAGACACGAGTTACACTGGAGAGTGATCTGAAAATGGGGAAGGAAAGGGGCAAGGTGAAGGGATTCAGGGAAAGAGCTCCAAACGTTTAGTGACTGGAGTGGAGGGGGATGAGGGGCAAACAGGAGGGCAGAGGGCGTGGGGCGGAGGGAGCGGGGCGGAGGGAGCGGGGCGGAGCAGCAGTCGGGCATGGACACCTTTGACAGCTCATTAGCTGCTGCCCCTCTGGGCTCCAGCACTGTACCTCACACCAACGGGAGTGTCTGACATCCACAGTTTTTCTCACTGCAGGAACTTCGCAGAGTGCTGTTTGGAACAACATTTCAAGTATTTAATTACGAGTGGAAGAAATCGCACTTTAAATTCCGAGAGGCATTCTCAGACTTGTCCTATGCACTGGAGGCAGAAAGGGTTGGTATCAATAACAACAATTACATAGTGCCCTTCACACGGGGTAGCGTCTGAGTGTTTAACAGCCCAGGCGGGAGGTGGGGGGAGATGACTGTAAGTATGGTTGAAGAGGAAGGTCTTCAGGCGTGATCTAAAAAAGCATAGCCGCCGATGGTGGAGCAAAGGGCGAGGGATGTGGAGCAGGCTTGAGTTTGCGGAGCAGAGAGTCTGGGCAGAGGGTGGGGGAGGGGGGGTGTGGTTGAGAGATCACAGAGCAAGTGGGTGAAGAGGTAGAAGGTTAGACTGAGGATCTTAAAGTCAATAATTCTGTCCCATCTTAATGTGGGAGAAATTCCACCTGGATCTAAAGCATTTAATTTTACTTAGCATTCCCAAATATTCAAGTGTTAGAGAAAATCCTCAATACAGCCTGAATTTTAAAGCAGTTTATCTTGAACGACTCGGAAATTCTGAACATTTAAAAAATGCCACTGAAGTCAAGGGAATCCTGACGGAACTGTCCTTTGAACGAGGCAGTAAATAGTGGGGTCTCCACTAAGAGTCATAATATTAACAATCCTTGCAGTTGATATAGCTCTTTATCACATCTTCGAGATGTCTCAAAGCCCTTCACGGGATGTATTGTAAATTGAATTGACTATACATTTTGTGGGGACGAAAGTAGGTGGCATTTGAGGTCTTATTTGGAAGTTGTTGTAAGCTGTGTAACCTCGGCTCAGGATAAAAATGGAGTAAATGCGGGTTATAGATAATGAGGTGACACAGTGCTAATTGCGCCTTTTCTCGGCAGAGCGGCAGCAGGGCGGTGCAGATGGCCATACAGGCTCACGTCATCAAACATCTCCTCTTCACACCGAGTCCTGAGCTGGCATCTCCCAGCATCAAACGGTACAACCCAGCTCCAATTAACAGCATCCCTGCGTGTGATACACCACCTATAATATAACATCACAATTCCCTCTCTCCTTTTCTCCCTCTCCTCGTCTTCTCTCGTTTTCTTTCTCTCCCTGGAAAGGCGCTGTGTTCTCTCCTGTTCTCTCTTGTCATCGCCCTCCTCTTCTCTCCTGTTATCTCTCCTGTCTCTGATTTAGCTCAGGTGTTAAGCCAGGATTGTTAATTGCCGTGGGACACCCTCCCGACATGAAAGCCGAAGTGAAAGGGTAAATTGTGTTGTGCCTCTGTGTGGTGATTTTCTGTTTTTGTCAGTGGTTGGGGTGTGAGGTTGATGCAGTGACTGGGGATGGTGTGCCCATAAGCGGGGTCTCCTTGGAGCTGAACTGGCTCGAAAGTGACAAGCCTGGCAATGGAATGTCGGAATCAAGCCTGCCCTCAGGTCCACAGTTCTTCAGGGCACTTCTGATGACAGCAAAGCCAGCCTGGTTCATCGACAGGACCTGGAAGGGCAGAACCATCACTGGATGCAGCGAGTCATCATACTCAGCTCCTGTTAACCTTGCAAGCCAAAGCCCTAACAAGCAGCTGAAAAGCTTGCCAGCAATATCAGTGGGGTTTTAGCAGTTACCCTAATGCACACTCTGTAGTCCCCAAGCCTTGGCTCTTGCCGATGTGCGCCTGATACTTTCTGAATTAGGTAAGCAGGATGCATTCCTCCAGGGAGAGAGTGCGTATTCCTTTACAACAATCTATCTCTGGAATTTACGTGTGTAGGTGGGATGCGTGGAAATCTCAGCTTGGTTTGGATACTCTTTAGCATGATGGTGGGTTTCCGTATGTGTCAGACACCCACCTGGCTGAGCAAACAAAAAGTGTCCTATTTCCTGCCCTCTCTTACAGTCTGCATGGAGTGGGACAGAAGCAGCAGGAGGGAGCACTGGGATCTGCACTGACGGACATTCTGTGGATGGCCGGAGAGGGAGAGAAAGCCGTGATCAGCTTGGTGACAACCGACAGTCACTTACCTCCTTCAGTAGACTACAAGATGGATGGCTACACAGAGAGGGTAAGAGCCATTCTGTGTCTCTCTCCCACACACGCACAGCGGTAAGCTAAGGTGCTAATTGCCTGCCGCGTTTCGCCCCCAAAACATATAGTCAATTCACTTTACAGTACATTCTGTGAAATACTTCGAGACATCTCAACGATGTGATATTAAATGCAAGGATTATTATTATAAGGTTCAGTTTTACCCAGTGAATGGTCGAACTTATTATGATGTCCAAGTGCTTCACAGTGAATTGCTGCTGCTGAGACAGAGGTTTGTGGTTTTGAGCCCCACGTCAAGTCTCTGAGCTCACAATCCAGGCTGATGCTGCATTGTCGGAGGTGCTGTCCTTTGAATGAGACGTGAAGCCGATGTCATGTCCACCTAATCAGGTCACATCACCTATTCCATGGTATTATTGGCAGAGATAAGGCAGTTTTTCCCAGTGTCCTGATTGACAATCCTCCAGATTAATCGATCAGTCACCTCATGGCTGAGGTAATAAGGTCATGGAGCTCAGTGCAGGAGAGGCACGAGCTGCAAAGGTACCTTAACTGCCTCATTTGCCTACAAATACGCAGTCACTACACCTTACAGCAATTTCCTGTGAAGCGCTTGGAGATGTGTCAACGTTGTGGGCGTCCTATCAAAAAGCAGGGACATCACTATTTCACTGGTTTTAGTTTAATGGTCTTTGCTTGTTCCAGGACCTGTTCTGTTCCCTTTGGGCAGCAATTTGCCCTCTTGTGATCCAGGACTCACACTTTGCTTCTTGTTTCCTCAGCTCCAGCTGTTTCACTTCACTGAGAAGGCAGAGCTGCAGAACTTCATCTCCGAACACATCAATTGTGTGAGTATCAACCAGGGCACACTGACGGCTGTCTGACAGTCACACCACGTGGCACTGTGCGGTTCACAGGCGAGTGGCTGATCACAGAAGGTAGGAAAGACCAGATTACAAATACAGAGGCATAGAACGAGAAAGAATGGAGACAAACACTAAACTGGTCCCAACTGCTGGTTAGGGTTAGGACGGAGCACTGTGCACACTTTTGGGCGTGGAGTCCTGTAGCACATTGGTTAGAACACTCGCCTCGCAAGCAAGTGGATCAGGTTTGATTCCCGGGCAGGGCGAAACCTTAAGCAAATCTCTTTAATCGACACGCCTCAGTTTACCTAGCAGTAAGTAGGAACCTGGTTGATTAGCAGATCGCTTTCCAGGGGTAAAATCCTTCTTTGAAATCCGCGACCATTTGTGGGACACTGCTGTATGCAATCGGCTGCCGTGTTTCGTCCACAAAATATACAGTCAATTCACTTTACAATATATTCTGTGAAGCTCATTGAGACGTCTCAATGACATGATGAGGCGCTATATCAAATGCAAGGATTATTATTATTTACCACTCCATTATCAAAAGAATGTAAACAAATGGAAAAAGTGTGGTGTAGATTCACGAGGATGTTACGAGGGTTAAAGGTCTCCTAATTATGTCTACAGTGCTCCCTAACCCTAAACCTTAACTCAATCCTAATGACCCTGTGAGCATTTAGAGGGTCTGAGTTGGAAAAGCATGTCCAGTTATTGACCATTTTGAGAATTACTAAACTTTGGTTTCTCTATTCACAAAGGAAACCGTGTATCTAACTTGTACCGGGTTTCACCTCTTTCTTTCCAATCAGTTTAAAGATGAAGGGAGCCATGGCGTTATCCTCTTCCTGTACAGTTTGATCTTCTCCAGGACTCTCACACGGTAAGCGATTAGAATTCCGGGCTGTGGGCATGATCTGGATCTGGGAGAGATTCATCTGAACATCATTTGTCCCATTTGATCTCAACTTTTCAGAATACCCACTTTACCGTCTTCCCAGAACAACAATAACCACATTTATACAGCACCTTTCACGTTGAGAACACATCCTAAGGCACTGGTTAGTTAAAGGTTTGCACCCAAGCCAAGGGACAGAATCAAAAGATGGTGGAGGGTAGGAGGAGTGGGGTTTGGAGAATGACCATAGGCACGGTCAAAGAGGAAAGTCTTGAGACGGGCCTTGAAGGAGGCGAGGGAAGCGGTGAAGCGGAGGGGCTCCAGGATGAAGTTCTCGACGGTGAAGCAGAAAGGCTGAAGGCCTGATCACTGACAGAGGGGTAAGCAGGCTGGGGCACTTGAACCAGAGCCCACCAAGTGGAGTGAGTGAGTAGGTTGATGGTGTTAATAGGTCACAGAGGGGCAAGATCATGTAGAGCTTTAAAAGTGAGCACTTTCAGCCACTACGCCCCAAGACTCTGGAACACTCTCCCTCAATTCTTCCGCCTTGCCCCTCTCCCCTTTTTCAAGTCATGCCTGAAAATCTTCCTTTTCGACCGTACTTATGGCCACCTAACACTCCCACCCACCCCACCCCCGGCTCGGTGCCAGGTCTCTGAGACGCTACGCTGCGTGGAGGGAGCTATATAAGTGCAATTTGTTGTTGTTGGAGGATCCGAGTCTGGAGGATGTGGAGCCAGAAGAGCCAGGTGAGGCTCGATAATAGGGTCATGGGGCTCAGTGCAGGAGAGGACACGAGCTACAAAGTTCTGAATAATCTGCAGTTTGTGGAGGAAAGAGTTAGGAAGGCCGACAAGCAGGGAGTTAGCATAGTCGAGACTGGATGTGATGAAAGCATGGATGAGAGTTTTGGCAGCCTGAAGTGAGAGGCAGTAGTAAAAGTGGATAAGGTTGCGGAGGTGGGGGAAGGCAGAACGGGTCATGGCACGGATGTGAGGTTTAAAGCACAGTTGAGGGTTGAACAAGACACCAAGGTTCTGGACTGGCTCAGTGAGGTGGAGTGTGCTGTCAGCGCTTGAGGTGAGGAGTTGCTGATGGGAGCCAAGCAGTTGGCTTGCATCCAGGTCTTGATGTCTGACAGGCAATCTTAGCTGCTTACCTGAGCTGCTTGTTAACTGTGCGGTGGGGGGGGGGGGAGGCAGTCCAGCCCACAGCTGCTGTTGCCTACCTTTCCACTTCTCTTTTTGCTAATTTCCTCCTCCAATCCCCTTCACCATCTCCTGAGGGTGATTGGCATCCTTTTCCTCTCCCCTCGGGCACAGTCTTTCAGTTACCTTCTGACCCTTCTCATGCGTGACCGCTGACAGTGAGTTTCGGAGGGCATTGGTGGGGAAGGGGAATTGGTGGGAAACCCGATCCTCTCCTCACCCGAGCTCCAAACTCACATCTTCCTGCTCTCAGACCACTGCCCTCACTGACACCAGTTATCCCAACTGGTGGGTCTGAGGTTCTTACTGACACCAGCTTAACCCAAATACATGACCCAAAAAGTAGTCCATCAATTACCTTCCACTAGCACTGAAGAATATATTTGTACGTTTGACCCAGAGCTCTGTCGGACTCTTATCTAATGCCGTTCCTTTAGGCTACATGAAGACCTGGACAGAAGCACCTCTCACCTCTTGCAGCTAAGTCTGGGGAATTTCATCTGCCGACAAGTAGGTCCTGTTATTTTTTCCCTCAGTTTACTCCAGTTTTCCTCTTCCTTCTGGTGACGGTTTGGCCACGGTGGGGCTCGAGTCCACCAGCACTGGTGCTCTGTGTTGGTTCACACAAGATCTTCGCTTCCTGGCGGGAAACCATCTCTAAGAGCTTCACAACAACAACAGCAAATTACTATAGCACCTTTCATGTCGGGAGGACTGGAGGGAATTGTTGTGAAGTGTGGGGATGTGGGGGTGGGTGGGGGAGACGGCAAGGGACTGGGGGATAGTGGGGGCAGGGGGGTGGGGAGTTTGAGAGCTGTGCAGATGAGGCGAGGGGAGGTGTCGAGTGGCTCCGCTCTAGCCTGTGTCACTCCCTGGTGGGGGTAACAGTCCGTCAGAAAAACCCACAGGTTTAACTCTTCACTGTGTGTGTGTGTGTGTGTGTGTGATGCCTCTGTGTCCTGTGTGATCGCCGCAGGCTTTGATTAACCTATTGCTGACTGGGAGAGCAAGCCCCAATGTCTTCAACGGGGACCTGGATTACAATGCCGGAAGCGGTGGGATGGAGGGTCCGCTGCGGGGGGTCCTGGCTCGCAGCGACGTGGGCTTCCTATCCTGGAGCCGCGAGCAGCACCTACAGGTGAGGCTCATACTCACTGCTGCCTTTGTTTAACAGGGACAGTGGGGTGAATGCACTGACGTGTGTTGCCAAGACCAGGGGTGTGAGGGCAGGTAAATGGGACTGAAAGGATTACTCTTGAGGGAGCTGGCACGGACACGATGGGCCAATTGGCCTTGTTTGCTATAAAATCTTTGTTGCTACCTCATCGATTCCATTCAGACCTGGGTGGGGGGAGTTTGGTGTCAGCCTGGCTCACTCTTGTCTCCAGGGCAGAAGGTTGTGGATCCATGCCTCACATCGGGACTTTGAGCTCACAGTCTAGGCTGAAACGCCTCTGCAGTGCTGGGGGAAGCACTGCATTGTTGGAGGCTTTGTCCTTCGAATGAGATATTATCCAATGATCTGTTTATGGGTGTTCAGGTGGAAGCTAAAGTATAATAATAAAAATATTAGTAATAAGCCTTGCATTTGATATATTGCCTTTCACCTCAGAAGGACATCTCAAAGCACTTTGTGAGAGTTATTGTGAAGTGTAGTGACTATATTTTCCGCTATCGGAAAAGAGGAGGCAGCTTCTCTCCTCCGGTATCCTGGTCAACAATCCTCCAAATAAAATCAGTCGCTCACTTTGTGGCTGTCTGTGGGACAAGGCTGTGTGCAAACTGGCTGCTGCGTTCAATTACAAATACAAATAGTATATGAGTGAGAGAGAGATTGTGTGTGGGTATGCGTGTGGGGCAGAGAGTGAGGGAGTGGGAGGAAGTGCGGGAGTGTCAGTGAGGGCAATCTCCGAGGCTGACTCACTGCCTGTTTTGCTGACAGTGTCAGTCAGATGGAGACAGCACAGTGCATACCTCAGCCCAGCCCCCTCACCCACATTGCTCAGTGCCTCAGCCTCACAACACGCTTCACTTCAATCACTGTCCAATTGCTAAGAAACCGGACAAAGCGCTCCGATCGCTCTGCTGATAATCCAGCCACAACACGGCAACAAACCAGCAACAAACCGTGACCTGATAACATGTCCAGCCTCCCCCTAAACCTGCCTAAGCATTTCATTCCCTTTGCTTTGTACAGGGTGACCAAAAAGTCATGATACCATCACAATGTCTGATCAGTCTTAAAGAAATGATAATTTTTTTGTTTAGAAAATAGGGTAGATACCACTACTTTTTGGTCACCCCGTATTTTTAGTGTTCTGAGTCCTTGGAAACAGTACAGCCTCTCCTCACGCAGGAGCCAGTTTGCCCAGCAATGTCCCACAAACAGCCACAAAGTGAGTGACCAGTTTTATTTGGGGGAATTGTTGGCCAGGACTCCAGGAAATGGATTCTCCCTTCTCCTTTCCAAGAGCATTGCTGGATCTTTAACACACACCTGAACAGGGACCTTGGTTTAATGTCAGATGGCGATGGCACCTCTGACAAAATAGCTCCCCACTCCCCCCAGCACTGCTGGAGTATCAGCCTGGATCATGGCGCTTAAACCCACAGTCATTCTGACTCAGAGGCGCAAGCGACTGAGCCAGGCCAACACCAGTAATTTGTAGCAGAGCAGAGAATCACTACACTGTAAAGTAACTCGCTCAGTTAGTGGCAGGGAGCCATAGCTTTATAATAATAATCTTTGATCAAGCGCATTTCACATCGGTAGGATATTTCACACAGATTGCACGAATAGATTGCAAAGTGTAATGACTGTATGTTTGTAGGCAGTAATAATAAAGGATTATTATTATATCTAACTCACAAGGTGCCACCTGGGAATGGAGACCATAGAAGCGGACAACACAGCAGAGCAGGAGGCCATTTAGCCATTATTTCATGTTGGTGTTTACTCCTCCAAGAAGCCATCCATTCTAATCCCAATTCTGAATCAGTTGGCAGCACTCTCACCTCTGAGTCAGCGGTCAAATAGGAAGACAGGACCTTAACCTTTCATTGTGCCTTTGGCCACACTCCCCGCAACCCCCTCCCCCCGCCACACCTCTTACCCTCAAATCCTCTTCATTCCAACCTCTTCACTGTCGTTGGGATGTGCTTCTGACGTGAAAGGCGCTGTCTAAATGTAACTTGTTGTTGACTTGTTTGTGTGTTAGGTTGGGAGCATGCTCAAAACCCCCAAACTACCTATCTGGCTTTGCAACATCAATGGGACCTACAGCATCTTCTTCAGCACCAATCGCCTGCTCTTGTCTGATTGGAAAATGGAGCACCTGTTTGATCTATTCTTCTACAGCGGACAGCCATCGCAAAGCAAGACGGTCACACTAACCATAGGTGAGGAGGCCTCGTCACCTCCACACTCAAACCCTCCTTCCAACACAGGAGCTATAACTGCTTGTGGGGCTGGTGTTGGGCTCCTCAATGACAGTGTATCCAATATAGGAGAACAGAAACAGGAGGAGGCCATTCAGCCCACCAAGCCTTTACTGTCAATTTCTAAATTCCTAGGAGATCTTTCAGTCGCATACCCCCCAGACCCTTCAATCTTATTTCCCTCAGGTCCGTCCATCTACCTTTTAGCATCTATAGCACCTTATCACGTTATTCAGACATCTCAAAGCGCTTCACAGGATATACTGTAAAGTGGAGTGACTGTGTATTTTGTGGGCGAAACGCAGCAGCCAGTAGCGCACAACAATGTCCCATCTTTACTCTTTCTGTCTCGCTCTCCCTCTCTCACAGACACTCACTCCCATCATTGGGAGGAAGGGCTACGTGAAGACGAAAGTGATCCCGAGAAAAGGTTTCCTTCCGTGGAGATGACCGTTCGCACCAAATGGGAGGGGGCGGCCATCGACTGGCATGGGACTATCCCATTCTTCTGAGGTGGGGGTGAGGGGGGGGGGGAAGATGCGTGCAGTACGAAGCCTGGCCGCTAACAATGGACTGTTCCTGCGTGTCGCCGGGAGGGGCCAATGGAGCTCAAAGCAGGAACTCCGTCTCTTGTGATGCAGATATTTACCTCACACTCGTGATTTGTTTCAGAGAAATATTTTGTGTTTTTTTTTTCCTGCGGGGTTACGGTACATGAGTTATCATTAAATAAGAAAGCTTGAAACACCCGCCCAGTCTGTGCGAAGTTCCTGATCTCAGCCAGAGCCACGTGGGGTAGGGAGAGAGAGAGAGAGAGAGAGAAGGGAGCAGCTCCTGATCCCCGGCCCAGCTAAAGGGAGGGGGTGAAGCTGTGAGGTCGGGCCACAATCGCAGTCAATTAACCCTCCTTACCCTCACGCTGGGTGACGTGTTTGGCAGCGGAATGTTGGAATCGAGCCATCCCTCTGTGATGGCCTCGGTTATCCAGGTCCGCAGTTTTCCAGGCCACTGCTGATGGCAGCACAGCCCAGTCTGGCTCATCAGCAGGACTTGGAAGGGCAGACCAGTCACTGAGGGCAAGGAATCCTCGCACTTAGCCCCTATTAACCCTGGAGACCAAGAGTGATTCTAGTTGGACAAGCAGCGGGCAAGCTTGTCACACAGCGATATCAATGGCATATTACATGGTTTTAGCTGATTAGAACAGTTAGACTCCAGCAGTCACCCCAACACACACTCTGGGGCATTTCCAAGCCTTGGCTCTGGCCAACCTGCGCCTAATACTCTCCGGAATTAGGTAAGCAGGATGCGTCCCTCCGGGAAGAGATCACCTATTCCATTCCAATAATCTACCTCTGGGATTTCCATGTGCAGGTGGAATGCATGGAAACCTCAATTTGGATACTCTTAAGCACGGTGATGGGTTTCCGCCCGTGTCAGAGACAAAAAGAAGAAAGGAGGAGAGCCATTTGTTCTTATCCTTTATTTCCCTTTGGGACCGATACTGCCCTGAGCAGGAGAACAGGGGGAGGAAGCAGTGATACCACATTATCTGGTCAAGTTTTTAGTGACCACCGACAGAACCTGTTTGAATGTTGTTTGTTATCGTCCCCTGGTGGCCAGGTATAGCTGTAGCCACACATACTGACATTGGCCAAGAACAAACTGATGCTCTGTTTAAAAACTATACTTTTTTCGTGTACCACACACCAGTCAATCATTACGACACTGATCAACCCTGGCAAATGTATTAAAGGGGGTTTCGGCCTGCCTCATTCAGGAGATAATTTTTAACTGCATAATTGGGCAACTTTCGTAGCACTCGCGCTCGCCTCCGAGTCAGAAGGTTGTGGGTTCAAGTCCCACGTCGGGATTTGGGATCACCAAGTCTAAGCTGACACTCCAGTGCAGTACTGGGGGAACGCTGGAGGTGCCGCCTTTCGGGTGTGATGTTAAACCAAGTCCTGGTCAACAATCCCCCAAATAAAATTATTCATTCATTCATTCATGGTTATTTGTGGGACGTTGGCTGCTGCATTTGTAAACAAAATCCAGTAAGTCCATTTCACAGTGATATATAATAGTCCTTGCAATTGATGTAGTAGCACCTTATCACGTCATTGAGGCATCGCAAAGCACTTCACAAAGTATATTGTGAAATGGATTGACTGTGTAGTTTGTGGGTGAAACACAGTAAAATCCTGTGAAGCACATGGAGACATTTTGATGATATGAAAGTGCAACATCAAATACAAGGATTATTATTATTAGTCTGTTATTACACACTGTGTGTGCAGTCCATTACACACTGTGTGTGCAGTCCATTACACACTGTGTGTGCAGTCCATTACACACTGTGTGTGCAGTCCATTACACACTGTGTGCAGTCTATTACACACTGTGTGTGCAGTCCATTACACACTGTGTGTGCAGTCCATTACACACTGTGTGTGCAGTCCATTACACACTGTGTGCAGTCTATTACACACTGTGTGTGCAGTCCATTACACGCTGTGTGCAGTCCATTACACGCTGTGTGCAGTCTATTATACACTGTGTGTGAAGTCCATTACACACTGTGTGTGCAGTCCATTACACACTGTGTGTGCAGTCCATTACACACTGTGTGCAGTCTATTACACACTGTGTGTGCAGTCCATTACACACTGTGTGTGCAGTCCATTACACACTGTGTATGCAGTCCATTACACGCTGTGTGCAGTCATTACACGCTGTGTGCAGTCCATTACACGCTGTGTGCAGTCCATTACACGCTGTGTGCAGTCCATTACACGCTGTGTGCAGTCCATTACACGCTGTGTGCAGTCTGCTATTACATCCTCTGTTATTACAGTCTGTTATTACACACTCGGGTGTATTGTGTGTTATGAAACACATTCTGACAGTGCATCCGCCCCGTAACTGTCTCCAGAGCAACGCCAAACAACACAGCCCTGTGGGGGGGGGCACTGCCCGGGGTGTGAGTGTGTGTCGGGGGGGCAGCGGCTCCCCTCCCCTCCCCTCTCCCCTCCCCTCCCCTCCTCTCCCCTCCCCTCTCCTCTCCCCTCTCCCGGGGTCGGGGCTCCAGACTGCACAGTGAGGGATGGAGAACGAGGACACGAGCAGAACTGTCTCCGATGATGAAGGCATCGCCGAGAGGGAAGACACCATCGACGTGTTGGCAAATCTCGACTACGCAGGTGGTCGGTGCTGGGCTTAGGGGTGGGGGGGCTGGGGTAGGGGTAGGGGGGCAGGGGTAGGGGTAGGGGGGCAGGGGTAGGGGGGCAGGGGTAGGGGGCAGGGGTAGGGGGGCAGGGGTAGGGGGGCAGGGGTAGGGGTAGGGGGGGCTGGGCTAGGGGTAGGGGGGCAGGGGTAGGGGGGGCAGGGGTAGGGGTAGGGGGGGCTGGGAGGGGGGGGTAGGGGTAGGGGGGCTGGGTAGGGGGGGGGGGTGGGGGGGCTGGGGTAGGGGGGGCAGGGGTAGGGGGGGCAGGGCTAGGGGTAAGGGGTGTAGGGGTAGGGGGTGCAGGACTTGGGGTAGGGGGCTGCTGGACCAGGGGTAGGGGGGTGCAAGGCTAGGGGTAGGGGGGTGCAGGGGTAGGGGGTGCAGGGCTAGGGGTAGGGGGTTGCAGCTGTAGGGGGGTGCAGGGCTAGGGGTAGGGGGGTGCAGGGCTAGGGGTAGGGGGGTGCAGGGCTAGGGGTAGGGGGGTTCAGGTGTAGGGGGTGCAGGGCTAGGGGTAGGGGGGTGCAGGTGTAGGGGGGTGCAGGGCTAGGGGTAGGGGGGTGCAGGGCTAGGGGTAGGGGGAGTGCAGGGCTTGGGGTAGGGGGGGTGCAGGGCTAGGCGTAGGGGGTGCTGGACTAGGGATAGGGGGTTGCTGGGTTTAGGGGTAGGGGGGTGCAGGGCTAGGGGTAAGGGGTTGCTGGGCTTAGGGGTAGGGGGGTTTCTGGGCTCGGGGTAGGGTGGGCTGGGGGGTGATCTCAGAAAGCGTCAGTTAGCAAGACCAGCAACTAGACAGGAAGGTGAAAGGGGGAGAAGAGTACAATTAAGCTGCACATAACTGAGAGGGGTTTGGAAGGGATATAGGGAGATGGGATTGGGAGGGGCAGAGCCTCATGTGGCTTGTGAACACCAGCATGGACTATACATGACTACTCAGTGCTATACAGTGTGTGTCACTGGAATATAAGGTTGGTAGAAGTATCCAGTGTGCAGCTCCCTTGTTGCTCACTGAGTCACTTGCCGGCAACGCTAACATTGTTTCTCTCCCACAACCTCCAGGTTTAAAACGGCTTCCCAGTCTATTAAGGTACGCGAAGAAGGAGAGGTGCCCCGCCTGCAGGTCAACATCCAATCTAAGAGCGAAGAGTCAAGACAAGGGGTAAGAGGAAGAGCACAGGGAGGAAGGGACCTTCCAGCGGGAATTTGTGTCATTGGCACGAAAGGCCAGATCCAGCCTTTAAGTTGAATGTTTTCGTGTTGGTATTAACCCTCTGCTGTCTTGCTTCCAATTGAAAACGTTCAGCCGAAATTCTGGCCCACGTTGATCATTGCGCCTTTGGCTCTGGTGTCAGCCTGGCTCGGTCGATATCGCTCTCGCCTCTGAGTCAGAAGATCATGGGTTCAAGCCGCACGTCAGGACTTTGAGATCCAAGTCTATACTGTCACCTGTATTGACTCTCCCAGTTAAAGGAGAGGTTCTTGTTAGTGGGCTCTGGGACGGAAAGAATCTACACACTGAGTAACAGTTATACAGGGTTTATTTTACCTCAGCCCCAATCTCACACCTCGCTTCTGCAGCCAATTGCACATAGCAACATCTCACAAACAGCCATGGAGTGAGCAACCAATTTTATTTGGGGGCTTTTTGGCCAGGACACCGGGAGAGAGAGACTCCCTTCTCTTTATAAATAGTGCGGTGGGATCTTTAACGTACACCTTAACAGGTTCTCAGTTTTACATCTCATCTGAAGGCAGCATTTCGGATTATGTTAAGTCAGCGCCTCGGGACGTTCAGGCCGCTATACAAATGTCATTTGTTGTTGTTAAGGCAGGAACAATTTACTTTCTGTGCTGTCAGTGAATTGGCTGAACTTTTCCCTCAGGAACATCTTCGATGTCAAGCCAGGCTCTTCCAGCAGCAGTTCTATCAGTCTTCTATCCACCAGGACCAACTCTCCCCTGGTTGGCATATCCAGCCTGTCCCTTGCCACCAAACACACACAGACCTCAGCCAGCTGGATCATTAGGTACTCCCTTGAGGAAAATGGTAAGTGATCTTTCTGTCACAGCAAACAGGACATCATGCCTTTCGCATCAGGAAGACATCTCAAAGTGCTTAATTGTAAGAGCTGTGACTGTGTGTGTTTTGTAGGCAAATGCAGCAGCCAATTTGCGCACAGAGATATCCCGCAAATAGCCATGAAGTGAGTGGGCGATTTTATTTAGGGGACTGCTGGTCAGGATACCGGGAGAGAGAAACATCTTTCTCTTTTCCAATAGTTCCAATCAAGACATCAGTGCATGCGCAACAATGCACCGCTCTTCCACCACTGCACTGGAGTGTTAGCTTTGGTGAGTTCAAAGTCCCCAATGTGCCTAAAACCCATCACCTTGCTTAAGCACCATTGCATCTGGTTCAATCCCCACCTTTCCTTTTCCCTTCACCAAGACTGCCTTCCTTCACCTCCACCACAGTTCAGCTCCAAGGAGACCCTGCTCACCCTCCACACCAACACTACCTCCCCCTCACCCCCCCAGAGGATAGGGGAACACAGTAGCTAATCTTGTGACTCAGAAGCGAGAGTGCAACCTGTTTAATATGAATGTTCTGGAATAAATCGTTTCTGGAAGCTGATCTTAAGAGTGAACAATCTGAGACCTTGACTGACTTTTTGCTCCTTTGATCTTTTGTGACCAAAAGTCGATGAAGCTCAGCACACGTCCCCGAAGTTCTTGAGCATCGAGGATGAGTCAGCATCAGGTACGTCCATACAACACACACACACATTCACCTTCTGACTGACTGACTGACAGCATCACAGACTCAGTAACTGGGTTAAAAGTCAGCAGCAAGCATTACGCGTGGGCCAATTTTGGGGTCCCGTTTGGAAACCCTTCACCGTGTATGTCTGCTTGTCGAAACCAGCCTGAGAGTTCCATGTGTACATAGGAATCCCCCTGTGTCTGGAATGGAATGCGCACTCTCTCCCTGGAAAGACACACTCTGCTTATCCAATTCCAGAGAATTTTAGGCGTAGGTTGGCAGGAGCCAAGCTTGGGGACCCCAGAGTGTGTGTTGGGGCAACTGCTGGAGTCTAAACAGCTCAAAGTGGACCAGGCCCTCCCCAGGGTAGAGAGACAGGCTATTTACTGTTGTGCGTTGATTTCAGACATTGATGTGGATACCTCGGGGTCTGGCAGCAGTGACAGCAGTGCACACAAGGACTTGGTTATTTACACTGAGGTATGAAATCTTTGCTGAGAAACTCGTTCCCATCAGTCAGCACCGAGCACCCACTGCATGTGACTGCCCAAACATTTCATTCTCATCTCAGCATGCTAGGCTCCAAGGTGACCCCCCCAACCCCCCCCGCCTTATCTCATTCCCCCTTCCCCTCGTTCCCACCCACTCACTAGTCACTAATTGGTCATTTGACATCCGACATGCACAGGGTTGATACAAACAAAATATTGAGAAAAAATAATATGAAAAAGAGATTACATTTTACAACCTAAAGCAGCAGCTTGTCACAAAGCAACACCGTGGAGGGTGGGTGTGAGCAGCAGAACCCAGCTGCCAGAGGGAGCCTGTCTCCTGGGCAGCCACTTAACGCTGGTGATTGTTTGCAAACACTGTAAACTTTGCCTCACAGTTAACGTTGGGGTTTTGGAGAGGAAGCAGTTAACAAGAGCGAGCATGAGGATGTCTTTGTTTGGTTTTGTAGGTGACTTTCAACTTTGCTCTCCATGCTACTGATATCTCTTGTCTCTTTTATCCAGCTGAAATCCAAACCATTCAGTCCATCGCTATTCACCACTGCCAAAGTCGGGCTCCCCACCATCATTGCGTACAAGCCAGAATCTAGAGAGAACTCCAGCATGTTCAAAATCATTCCTCCAGAGGTACTTAGTAATAAATAGGTTACGTATGTCTGCAGCACTGACAAACTGAGTTACACTACACCAGACTTCAAGATCAGGCTATAATAATCCTTTGATACAGCGCCTTTCACGTCAGGAGGATGTCTCAATGCACTTCAGCGTGTTTGTGAAACGAGGCAAGCAATCTGCGCCCAGTAGTGTCCCACAAACAGCCATAAAGCAAATTATTTGGGGGATTGTTAGCCAGGAGACAGAAAGTCCCTTCTCTTTTTGAATAGTGCTATGGGATCTTTAACAATCTTTAAGGTCCACCTGAACAGGCAAACGGGACCTTGGTTTAACATGTTATCTGAAGGACGCACCTCTGGCAATGCAGCACACCCTTAACATTGCATTGGAGCATCAGCTTACACTATATGAGTTCAAAGTCCCGACTGGGGTCTTGACCCCACAACCTTCTGACTCAGAACGCTACCACTGAACCGAGCTGGCACAATAACAAAGGGGGTAAGAATGACAACATTTTAATTAAATTGTTAATAACAAAAAAATCTTCCGTCATGTCCTCAGATGCAGGAGTTTTTGAAGAGACAGATTAAGGATTCTAAAACGCATTTGGACTACCACAAATTACTGTCAGAATTTGACAACACAAGGCAGTACGCAGTGAGTGCAGCACCGCCTGGTGCACACACAGAGCATGACACTTTAATAATAATCCTTACATTTGGGAGGATGTCTCAAAGCGCTTCACAGTAAAGGTAGTGACTGCACTACAGAAGTGAGCAGCATGTGTGTAATAGTGATAGGTGTGTGCGAGTGAGCATTAGTGAAAGGAGCAGGTCATTGATCAACAACAACTTGCATTTATATAGCGCCCCCCACACAGGGTAGTATCCCACAGCGCTTAAACAGCGTAGGTTAGTGTATGGCAAGCATTAGGATGTCTGTTAGTGAACAGTGGGTATTAATAAACAGTATGTGTTAGTGAACAGTGTGTTTGTGAATGGTGTGTTAGTGAGCGGCATGTTAGACTCACCTTTGTTGTTTTTGTGATTTCTTCCTCAGCTGAACTCTGGTTTTGATCTGTGTGAATTCTGCAATAAATTTATGAAAACCTTCCCTTCAGTTCACCAGCTGAAGACAAAGCCATCATCCGAGGCCAGTGCAGTGTGTTTATTCCTCTGTCCCTCTGATCTCTGCCCTCTGGCCTCTGTCAATCTTCTCTTCCTGAAGATTGGGATAAAGAAGGAGAGAGCTTTGTTAAAGTGTTGATCATTTTGAAACACCCCTGTGATTCCTGCCCAGTGGAGTTACTGTTTTTCGACAGTTTCAGTTTCAAAAACAGCTGTTAAGTGAATGACCAATTTATTTGCAGGATTGTCTGCCAGAACACTGAGAAAAGCTCCTTCTCTTTTCCAATACTATCCTAGATTAGACAGATGGGACCTCAATTTAACATCTAATGTGAAGGATGTCACCTCTGATAATGCAGTGTTATGCTTTTAGCTGTTAACATTACCCCCAAACCTTGGCTCTTGCCAATGTGCACCTAAAACTCTCCAGAACGGGTGGCCCGGACAGGCCTGCATCTAGCCTGGGGAATGGTTTCATCTGGCCTTTCCGGATTCCTGCTTGCCACCAAACCCCCCCCCCTCCCCCCCCCGTACTGACCTGGGTGTTTCTATTTTGCAGCTTTTCTGCTGCCCCCAATACGAGGACATCTTCAGCTTCGTTGTGCAGGAGGAGCAAACGATGATCACCTCAAAGACGGTTCATGAGAAGATCGCGGTGGGACCTCACCTTCCATTCAGCACCTTACTGGAGAGGCAGGACGCCAAGGAGCAGGCAGCTCTCAGGTCACGTTCCCTTGACATTCCCAGGACAGAAACCACAGCTCCACATGCTAGCCTCACGAAGAGCACTGTATACAGTGAACTCCTAATAACACCACCCTGACTTAACTTCTCACTGGCACTTAAGTCATCACTCTGTCAATATCCCGGCCACATTTATTTATGTGTTTATACATATCCCTAACTCACCACTCCTGATAACTCGTCACTGGGCCCCTTTCCCTTGAAGTGATGAGTTATCAGGAGTTTAATGTAAATGAAAATTGTTGTTGAAATTCCACCCAGTTAGGTGCCATAGGAACATAGGAGCAAGAGTAGGCCATTCAGCCCCTTGAGCCTGTTCTGCCATTCTATTAGATCATGGCTGATCTGTATCTTAGCTCCATTTACCTACTTTTGCCGCATATCCCTTGATCCCCCTACCTAACAAAAATCTATTCACCTCAGTCTTAAAAATGTGAATGGATCCAACATCCACAGCCTTTTGGGGGAGAGAGTTCTTAATTTCCACTACCCTTTGTGTGAAAAAATGCTTCCTGATTTTACTCCTAAATGGCCTAGCTCTAATTTTAAGATTATGCCCCTTGTTCTGGGTTCCCCCACAGAGGAAATAGTTTCTCCACCATCAGCGACCATGGTTTCAGCCACTGTGCCCCCAAACTATTATTCTCTGCCTCTGACCCTCCACCTTGCCTCTTCCTTCCCCATTCTCAGATCACACCAGAAGACCTTCCTCTTTGACCATGCTTATGGTCACCTCCCCCCTCCCTGCATCAGGCTCCGCCACTGCTAAGCGTTCCGATACACTACCCTGTGTAAAGGGCACTATATAAATGTTAGTTGTTGTTTTCTGTTGGCAGATTACGGGATAGAGCGGTGGAACAGTTCTACTCAAAAGTGAAAGAACAACAAAAGAGAACACATTCATGTAAGTGTGACTTTAACGTGTCTTGTGTTATCTTAGATCCTATAACTGGAGACAAAGGTGTATCAGAGATATCTACATGCCACGTCTTTTACTTCACTTTCCTTAAGCTAGCCCCAACCCTCGAGATAACTTAGCTGCCAATCTGCCACTTTGAGTAGAATCTAACAAAGATTATTGTGAAGCATTTTGAGGTACTCCTGATGTGAAAGGCTCTATACCAGATGCAATAATTATTTAAAAAAATAATCCTTGCATCTGATACAGCGCCTTTCACGTCGGGACGATGCCTCAAAGGGCTTCACAGAATTTACTATAAAATGTAGTGACCATGTATTTTGTGGGCGAAACACGGCAGCCAAATTGCACACAGCAACATTCCACAAATAGCCATGAAGTGAGTGACCAATATTAACTGCGAGATTGTTGGCGAGGACACTGGGAGCTTCCGTCTTGTCCATGTTTAGTTGCAGAAAGTTGTATTCATCCAGGCAGGTGGCCAGAACATCAGTAGACCTGGTGTAAGAACTGTAAGCAGGAAAATAGCTTTTGATGTCATCTATACAGTGTCTAACACTCGCATCGCAAGAGAGAGGACCAGGGTTCGATTCTCGGGCGGGGCGAAGTTTCCTTACGCCACACATATGCTTCTGTTTACCTAGCAGTAAGTAGGAACCTGCTTGTCAGTCGATTGGTGGATTGCTTTTCTGGGGGCAATAATCCCTTCAAAATAATAATGTGGTCACTCAATCCATGCACTGCTGTGCGCAATTGGCTACCGCGTTATGCCCACAAAACACACAGTTAATTCACTTTACTGTGAAGCGCTTTGAGACATCTTGATGACATGATAAGGCGCTGTTTCAAATGCAAGGATTATTATTATTATTATTTTTTACATATATATGGAAGTTGAGCCTATCTCTGCAGTAAGCATGTAGGTGAAGAAACGGATGGAGTTAGAATACAGGCCTGAGGTTCTCCTCAGATGCAAGGGCGGGGGAGAACCAATTAGAGTAGACAAGGTGGAGGCAGCACGTTGAAAGGGGTGTAGGTTGCAGAACCATGGAGGGGAAGTAGTTGAGGAGGATAGAATGATCCATAGTAGCGAAAGCAGTGGAGCAGCCCAGAAGGACAAGGAGGCATAGAGTGGCCTGTTCGCACAGAGAGAGAGGACTTCATTGGTGACTTTCACTCTGTCTCAGTGCCAATGAGAAGGGTAGAAGCCAGACTGGAGGGCCTGAAGCAGGGAGTGGAGGGGAGAGGTGAGCAAAGCAGATGGCAACCACACATCCTAGGACCGGATAGGAGGAACAGAGTGGCGTCAGCTGATAGTTGCCGAGTTTTGGAGGGTTTGAGGGTGGGATTTTTGAGGAGGGCGATGGTGATGACAGTTTTGAAGGGGGGTGGGATGGTGTTTCAAGAGACAGGTTGGCTGTATCCACCAGCAAGAGGTGATTGGATGGTCAGAATCTGGGTGGGGTGCGCGGGGAGAGAGGGTCGGGGAGCAGGTGATATAATAATAATGATAATAATAATCATTGCATTTGATATAGCGCTTTTCACGTCGGGTGGACGTCCCAAAGCGCTTCACAGAACACACTGTAAAGTGAATTGACTGTATATTTGTGGGCGAACGCGGCAGCCAATTGCGCACAGCAATGTCCCATAAAGCGTCGTAGATTGAAAATGACCAAATTTTTTTTTGGGGGGGGTTTTTTTGGAGGGATTATTATTAGGCTCTGTGTGGAGTAAGGAAACTTGCGCAAGATTCGCCCTGACCTGCCTGGAATTGAACTCAGGTCTCTCACTTGCAAAGCGAGTGCTCTAACCACTGAGCTACAGGACTCCAGGATAGGTTTCATTCGGGCTTAATCGAACTCAAGAATTATTGTTTACATGAAAGACTCTGTTCAAATGCAAACTGTCGCTTCTCTTGAAAATATTTGCCAATTTGAAAGTTAGTTTTGTTTGTCTCCCCTCCTCCCCGGCCTTCAATGTAACAGCGAAGAAATTGAACGTAATTCCTTATCACTTTTCAAATGAATTGAAAGCACTCGTTGAAACCACTGAGGAGGAGGAAGAGATTGAAGAATGGTATCAGTTCTTCAGCACATCAGAAAGTCCCGGCTTCACCTGGCACCAGGTACACAGCTGTACTTTCTGCTAACTCTATCTCTATCTCTCTTATTGATCACTTCCATCATTAATCAGTGACATCTTATTGCCTCATGTTTCATTCAATCTCTTGCAAAGGATTTCGCGCCCATTTTCACCAAGAAGTTCTACAGCAGCGGAGAGGTGTTCTTCATTACGTTTCCAGATGGCACGGCTCAGGTACAGTATCCTTTCCACACAGTTTGGGTGACACCAGATGTATCTGGAGGATTGCTCTAGCCTCATGCATATTTAAATCCCATGCTTGTCGGATTCCAGTTTTAATCCACGTGGAGTCCAATAGTGTAGTTGTTAGCGTGCTCGCCTTGCAAGCGAGATTACCTGGAGTTGATTCCCAGGCTGGGCGAAACCTTAGGCAACTTTCCTTACCTCAATCCTTACCCCCAAATTGGTCACTCAATCCATGACTATTTGTGGAACATTGCTGTGTGCAATTGGCTGCCGCGTTTTGCCCACAAAATGCAGTCAATTCACTTTACAATCTATTCTGTGAAGCGCTTTGAGACATCTCAACGACGTGATGAGGGACTGCATCAAATGCAAAGATTACTATTATTATTATTATTATTATTATTAATAATTCGTAAAAGTTTCTTTCCTGAGCAATGAGCAGTTACCCGTCTGGCAATTTAGCCATCATCATTTCTTTTGATCGGAAGGGGACGTACACCTGTATAGTGCAAGAGGACAAAGCCAAACAGCCAGCGATGCTCGGACTCTTTGACTCCACTGGCAGAGGGACCTGCTACTACTCCAACGGAAATGTCTGGTACATTTGTTGTCTTTTCACTTAAGCGCTGTCAAACACATCGCCCGTTCAAGAAGACAAATGCCACTTGCAAAAGGTTTCAATAAGAATCCTCTGAGTAACAAGGTTGTAGGTCCCCACTTCAGGACTTTGACCCCATATATTCTAGGCTGACATTCCTTTACCGTGCTGGGGGAGCATTGATTTGTCAGGGATAACGTGATTCAGGTGAGACATTAAATCCAGGCCCTGTCTGTCCTTTTCTAGGTGGATTTTAAAGATCCAGTTACTATTGGAAAAGAGAAGAGAGTTTCTCTCTCCTGGTGTCCTAGCCAACAATTCCCCATTAAAATCATTCATTCACTTCATGGCTGTTTGTGGTACTTTGCTGTGCACAAATTGGCTGCCATGTTCTTCCACAAAATACAGTCATTACACTTTACAGTAAATCCTGTGAAGAGCTTTGAAACGTGTTTGTGACATAAAAGGCACTATATCAAATGTAAGAATTAATATTATTATGATATAAAGCCAACAGTTTTTTTTTGATTAAACCAATACATTTGGAAATCTGTTACCTTGCTTAAGAGAATCCAAACCAAAATAGTAAAAATTCAACCTAAACATGGAATTTTCCCTGTGTCTCGGATGGAATGCATACTCTCTTCCCAGAGGGACACATCCTGCTTGCCTTATCCCCAAAAGCTTTATGGTTGGCCTGGGACTCAGAGTGTGAGTGGAGTTTAGCCAGATAAAACCGCATAGCTTGCCATTGATATTGCTGTCTGGCAAGCTTTCTCACTGTTTGTCCAGCTAGGACCACCCTACCTGTTAGGGCTCGTGCTTGCAGAGTTAACAGGAGCTCCGTAGGATGATTCCTTGCCCCCAGTGACTGATCTGCCCTTCCAAGTCCGGCTGATAAGCCCTGTTGAGATGTGCTGTCTTCAGCGGTGCCCTGGAAAACTGGGGACCTGTCTGGTGTAGGAATTAGACTGGAGACCATCAGAGCACTGGCTCGATTGTGACATTCTGCTGCCAAGCATGGCACCTTGGAGCCGGTTCAGCTTGAAGGAGCCCAGTTCGTTACTAGTTAGTCATAAAAAGCAATATAAAAGGAGCAGAGTCTGTGGGATATTACCAGAGGTTTCAGTTAACAAGAGGCAGTTGAAAAATTAGGGCTGTTTTCTCAGTGGAAATGAAATTAATTGGTGACCTGATAGAGGGTTTCGATATTATGAAGCTTTATGACATTGTGAATAGTAATACAGTATTTCCATTGGTCAGTAAATGTGTTATTGAAGGGTACAAATTTATGATGATCATAAGAATTAAAGGGAGTCAGAAACCATTTTGTGTTGCAAATCATAGTTGAGGAAAGTCCATAGATTCTTGTTAAAGTGATTCTGATGGAATTAAAGGGTATGTGGAGGAGTGGAAGTGGGCTGAATGGCCTCCTCTGTGCTGTGATTCTATGAATGACCTGTTAGCTCCATACTGACCTGTCCGCTCCCTCCACTCAGGGGGCTCCAGCCTGCTCCACGTCCCCCGCTCTGCACACCCCACCATCGGTCACCTTCCTACCCCCACCCTCCCAGCCCTCCAAGCCTCCTGATTCCAACCCCTAGTTTGGGTTCAAATCCCTGACTGTCCAGCACCTTGGGACATCATCCCGACTTGAAAGGTGCTATACAAATGTAATTTGTTGTTGTTGATGAAAGGTCCTCAAGTCTTTTCTGCAGGAAAAAGTTCTGTTGTGTGGTTGGATGTGTTGTGTGGTTGGATATGTCTGTTCATGTCCACTATGCCGTCATTGTGTGCAGGATCAGTATCACCTGCATGGGAGGCCTGTACCTCAATGAGAAAGGAGCTCAAGTGTTCCGTTGGTGGTGGAGAGACCCCAACTCACCCAGCCTCTTCGCGCCCATGAAACCCATCTTCCTGTCCCTCAATGAGAACATTGGCATCAGGATTTCGGCCCAAGATCACATTCACATCACTTTCCTGGCCAAGGGCAAACAAATGAAGCTCAATGTGGGAATCAAGCTCGAGGTACTGCAAACATAACAACCATGGAACAATAGTGCAGAGAAATTAGAAAAATATAACAAATAAGGAATACAGTAAATTCCTGATAATTCATCACTCTGAAGGAAAAGGGCTCAGCGACGAGTTATCTGGAGCAGCAAGTTAGGTGTATGTATAAATATATAAATAAATGCAGCCAGGATATTTGACAGTAATGGTGACTTAAGAGGTAGTGACAAGTTAAGCCAGAGTCGAATTATCAGGAGTTTTGTGTATTATAGAAATAATAAGTATGATAAAATACAATATTAATACACTGGGCATGTTCATGTAGCGAAAGAGAAGGTTGAGAGGTGATATGATTTGTGTTTTTAAGATTCTAATGGATCTAGATAATGTAGACCATGATAAGTTGTTTTACCTTGTCCAGAACAGTAGAACCAGAGGACACAGCCTGTGAATGAAGGGAGGTACATCCAAAACAAATCTGCAGAAACACTATTTCAGTGAGCGACTGGTAAATCTATGGAACAGGCTCCTTAGGGAGACAGTGGAAGCAGAAAGTGTTGATTCTTTCAATTGCAAATTAGATAGATTTCTGTTAGATTACTTGGGGATATCGTATATGAGTACTTTGAAAAATTACATATAGTAAGTGTCGTATGCTTGGAAGAAACAGGCAACTTTGGATCTAAGTGGAGTCCCGTAGCATAGTAGCACGCTCGCCTTCAAGCGAGAGGGCCTGGGTTCGATTCGTGGGCAGCACAAAACCTTAGCCAAGTTTCCTTACTCCACATGCCTTTGTTTACCTAGCAGTAACTACAAACCCAGTTGTTAGTTGCTTGGTGGATCCCTTTTTAAGGTAATAATCCCCCCAAAAATGGTCACTCAATCCATGGCTGTTTGTGGGATACTTCTGTGTGCAATTGCTGCCGCATTTTGCCTACAAAATATACAATCAATCCACTGAAGCTCTTTGAGCGTCTCAATGACTCGATAAGGCACTATATCAAATGCAAGGATTATTATTATTATTTCTACCCTGTAATATTTAGACTGTTTCTTACCCAAGTTAAATGTTACCTTGTTTCCCTCCTTACCAGTTGAATGAAAGCTTCAGTAACTTCCCAAACAACACCTGGGTGACAGAGACCCAACTGTACCTGGAGAAGAGTAAGATAAAGATTCAGTCCCTCATCAACAAGATGTCCCTCATCACCAGCTTCCCCAACATCAAGAACCTGGACAGGATCCCTCTGCCCTTTCACCTGAAGTCTCGCAGATACAAGCTTGTGAAACTCAGGGAGAAGGTGAAAAGCGGAAAACACATTCGGTTACTGGCTGACATGAGCAACGAGAATTGACAAGGGATAGGTTACTTGTGATCTCCTTGATGAAGGAGAGGGATGGAGAAAGGGTGAACGAGGGATGGAGAGGGAGGGCGGAGCGAGGGAGGAGGAGGGAGGGAGAGAGAGGAAACGAGAAAGGGAGGGAGAGGGAGAGAGTGGGAGGGAGTTAGGGAGATGGCGCCCATTTCTTTTAACAGGAAACTTGTATCCTTTAATGAATGCCTTAATAGTATAATCGAAAGAATTTTAAAATGAGTAGCTATTCACTAGGAATGCCAGGGTTTTGACTATTGTGGCTCAGTTCAGTACGTATAGAAGCTGACATGGAACCAGTGTGTGCAAGGGGGTGGGGGGTGTAGGGGGTGCGGGATGGGAGAGGGAGGGGGGGAAGATGTGGCTCCTTAGTAAGATTGTCCAACTGTAAAGGAATTGGGTATCACGTCACATGATTCCACGTTGTCCTCAGAAATGGGACTTGTTTTGCAATACTCAGGACCAGAAGCCATCAGACATTGCTCACCCGAATGAGTCATTCCACATATTGTTGTCATATGCTTTTTTTGATCAGTGATTTATTTGTACACCAAGTGAAAACAGTAAAACAATAAAGATCGGATTTTTTTAAAAAAAGTCAAGGGCAGATGTGGGTCTGTTATATGTATTATTGTAACAACAATAATACTTTCATTTGGTGTAGCGCCTTATCATATCTCAAACTGCTTCAGTTTGTACTGCAAAATGGTGCAACAGTGTATTTGTAGGCAAATGTGGCAGCACAATTGCACACAGCAATGTCCCACAGACACCCATGAAGTGAGTGACCAATTGCATTGGGGGAATGTTGGCCAGGACACCAGGAGAAACTCGCTTCTCTTTTTCGAATAGTGCCATGCCTTTAACGTTCACTGGGCATCGGTTTAACCTCTCACTTGAAGGACGGCACCTCCGACAATGCAGCACCTTCCCAGCGTTGCAGACTCAGTATAAACTATGTTACTATAAACTAGCTGCCCATATCCTCGCCTACAAACCTGCCCACTCCTGCCACCTTGTCTCCAATCTCCTCCCACTCTACATCTCCGCCCGACCCTCTACTTAGCTAACTCAGGTTGCTTTCCTCAGCTATCTCCTCCGCCACCAGTGGCTGAGCCTTGAGTTGCTAACCTCCTTCCTTTACCATCCATCTTACCCCTCTCTCTCTGGCTTTAGGTCCTGCCTCAAACCCCACCTTCTGAACGAACCTGTAGCCACCTTCCTTTCCTCCTCTCCCTTTATGCTGTTCAAGCTCTCCCTATGAAGCACTCCGAGACATTAACCTACATGAAAGGTGCTGTATAAATGCAAGTTATTATAGTAGTAATGGGACATAAACCCGGTGCTGCTTATTCAAATATGATAATTAATTCACTCAATCAGTTTGACTTTTAGTAAATCAATTTATTAGGCAGATTAAAACAAAAGACAGGCAAGCAATTTCTTATCAACAACACAGGGTGTAAGACAGGTCCCGGAAATAGATTTATTTTAGGAAATATTATTTTGGGATAGTTTAAGAGTAGTTGAGGACATGACATGTGCATGCGACTGCCAGGATGGTGTAAGACGAACTGGTGGACCATGGTCTTTCTTCATCCAACATTTCCTATGTTCCTATATAACTGTCCTTTCCTCCTCCTCATATAAGCTCTGTACTGTTGAGCGTGTGCCACTAGCAACCTAAAACAGACAGGCAAGGAAATAATCTCTATGTAAAATAATCTGTGCTGTGAGGATTATGTTATAGGAAGCAGTGCAGTGCCTATGAGCAGGGAATAAATTCAGCAAAGAAGCAAATTGAGAAATATCTGCCTTGATGATGCATTCAGGAAATGTTCGTTCTCACCATTTAGACACATCTCTCAGCTAACGAAAGATCTCAGGCTCGAATTACAGAGAGAAGTCATCCAATTGAAGCTTTTGGGTCAATTTGAACTAATATATTAAACTGGTGAGATTTATTCAAATGCCAGAGTGAGTTTTGGTGGGGGAGGGAACAACTGAATAAAGTTGCCCCAAAATCTAAACTACTTTGAAGAAACAAGGGAAGAATCAAAACCAGCAACTTTAATGTCACTGATCTTTATTGATAAAGGACAAACGTGTAACTAACGGGTGCCTCGGTGGCAGTGTTCGTGAGCAGTCTACCATCGAGTTTAAAACTATTAAAACCGATTAGGATATTCCAGGCCAATGGTTTATATGATTTTACATCAGTCTCTTGCCAGCTGTGTGATTGATGTCTTTTCCTCTCAGTTTTGGATTTAGTTTCAGCTCTCCAAGACCCTCCCCTACGTGAAAGGCTCTACATACAAGCAAGGTGTTGTTGGATGTACAAATTATAAAAAAACACACAGGAAATGGCCGTGAACAGATTGCCCTAAAGGAACTGAAGAAATTGAGGCACGAATAACGTGAATGGCGCTATACAAATGTAATCTTGTCGTTGTTTTGGAACCCGTACTGATCTGTCAGAGATGAGGGTGGAAGGTTACAAAATGAAGCACTATATCGAGAGCTCCAACAAAGTCATGCATGTATATAGCTCCCTTCACATTTTGGGACACTGCAGTGTGCAACTGGTTGCTGTGTTTCACCCACAAAATACAGTCACTACACTTTACAGTATGTTCTGTGAAACACTTTGTGACATATCAACCTGGTAAAGAGCTATATCAAATGCAAGGATTAATACGATGGATCCAAGAGTAATTAATAAGGCATAAGTCTGAGCAGCAGGTGAGGAAATCCACACAAACTGAGCATGAATATAACTGATTTATAAGAAAGGGCAATTGTTTCACTTTGAATACATAAAGGAGGCCTCTAGTTGTACTGGTTCATTTTGTAACCTTTCTCCTTGTTCATTTCCAGCGGGAGGGACAAATAAAAACAGGGCAAACAGAAGGGCAGCCTTAAGCTGGCATTGCAAGTCTTTATTCTAATGTTAATTTCTCCCCAGCCCAGCCCGTGCCACCTTCTGTGGGAAGGAGCTCAGGTTTACAGGCAACAGAAGCGAGGTGTGTCTCACTGTACACTGACCAACAAGTTATCAGATTGATTAATTTTATGCTTAATTTAACATTCCAACATAAAGAATTCTTCCTGGATAGAAACTGATTGAGGACATTACACACTTGCAGACTGAATGGAGCAAACGTGCTTTAATAGAACTGTGCACATTATTTCCACTTGGAGCAAGCCCAGGGCAGTCTTTATTGTGTCTGAGGATCACTGAAGGTGCCTCAGCCTCTGCTAAATGTAAACTGGAGGAAATGGAGGCACTGACTGTCTGACTGAGATCTGCCAGGTTCACAGAGGGAAACACTGCTAGACTGTGAAGTTGAGGTCAGAGACACTGCCATACCATACAGAGGCAAAAGAAATCAGTACAGACTGAATACACAATTCTCAAAACCCCAGCAGGAGAAAACAGCAGCAGCAAGCAGTCAGCACTCTGACCAGCACCAGTGTTTGCACTGGTCTTTTCTTTTGGACAAGACCAAAGGCAGAATCTCGCAGTGTCCTCTCACACCTGCAAACACTGGGCTTTTTCAAACAGATTATGTAAGCACATCAGATTCTTAAAGTTACATTCCCTCCTCTCTCACAACCTGCAGGTTTAACCTTGTGTTAAATGTCTTCTAAAATACAGCTGTATATGAATTTTTTTTAAGGTGCATTCTAGAACTTCCCTGGCTATACCACACCTATCGAGTCACACAGGGTCGTCCCCGCCTAACTCCACATTAACCCCTTCTTCTCAGTTTCTTTTAAATTCGATGTAATACTCAATTCATTCACTTGCTCCATCGTAGAGAAACTGGGAACCTGCTGATTTAGGAGCAGTATTACAGGGACAGTCACATCACGTTAGCCTCCCTCATAAAAACACTTCAGGAAATATTTCCCATTGTGGTTCCAATTTAACATGTGTGCTAGGCATTAACCCTTAGAGCTTGCTAGATTCCTATACAGGGATTCAAACAGATTTTTAGATTTTCAACAAGTTGAAAGTTAAAATAGACCTGCAGTTAAAATATAATTACATTCTAAATTACAATGTTCAACACAAAAATTGCGAGCAGACCACTCATTTCAACCAAACACAAAATAAGTTGTTTGTAGTTAACATCTGTAAATGGCGCCATCAAGTTATATTAAATTACTTATAAAAAAGGAAGGGTTCAAATTACAATGATAAGTGCGCAGTACACTACATGATGAATATGATCAATGTATTCGAGCACTGGAGCAATCGGCTTTCTAGAGGAGGCTTTCGGAGGTTCAGTAACGACTGATGTGGGAAACATCCAGCCTACACAAACAGTGATCGCTGTTTTCAGTGCAGTCCTTCATAGTCATCAGGCTTACTGTGCTTCGGAAAATGTCCACTAAAATGCCTGGGGGTGAAGAGAGAGTTACATTGTGAGATGAGACACGTGCAGTGGGTGTGATCTCTGCTGTGGAAATTGCATTAGCTGAGTGATCACTTAAGCATGGGTGCTCATCCCCCACACAAAGCAAAACAACTTGCATTTATATATAGCTCCCTTCACACAACGTGGTGTCTCTAAGTCCTTAACAATAGCATTGTTTTAACACCAAACTAGGAAGAAAGGAGAGGTGACCGAAGGCAAGGTCGATGAGAGACATCTTCAGGTGTGATCTGAAGAAGGGCAACGGATGCCTTGGCTCTGGCCAACGTATGTGTAATACTCTCCAGTATTAGGTAAACAAGGTGTGTCCCTCCGGGGAAGAGCATGCACATTCCATTCCAAACATGGGAATTTCCATGTGTAGCTGGCACACGTGGAACTCTGTCTGGTTTGGATGGCAGGAACCCTGTATGTCAGCAAGCACACGTTCCATCGTGCCAAAAGATATTTAAGGGAAGCGGTCTCTTTATTCCCCCATACTCCCCCCCCACCCCCGTCTCCCCTTCCCTTTAAGCCCAGATCTTTGTAAAAAGGTGCTGAACACAGTCCGCCAAATAAGGTCTAATCAAGACTCTGAATAACCACAGCACCATTTTCTTGTTGGTATTGTCCCAAAGATTCCCCGAAACTTACATTGTGGAAGGAAAATGCTACAGATTTCTCAATCTGATTCATTCGCACGCGCACTATCACCTGAATTTCCTCATTGGAAAAAGACAACTTACAGAAATATGCTTCCAGTGCCTTAAGATGTAGCTACGATCGATGAAGTGGAATTGAGTCCATGTGTACATTGAGTTTCATTTCATTGTCCAGAATCTGGACAAGCTGTTGCATGGATGGAAGGTGACCAGACTCTAGTTTGGACCACACTGGAACATCTAGAATAAAGAGCATTCAGTCATTGACAAGGAAAATACATCCAATGATGGCAGTCATGACAACGACAAATTACATTTCTATAGTTCCTTTCATATCGGGAGGACGTCCCAAGGAACAGTAACAAAGCACCTGATGGATGATTGTTTAAAAGTGACTATCTTTGACTCACCATTCAATGTAATCTCAAACGCACCGGTGGACATACACTGATTCTCAATCATGTTACTGAGGAAGAACACCATCATGCATGCATAGATCTGAATAAAACAAACACAAATTAGTCATTGATTTGGTGAAGTCTAATCCAAAAGCTTCACTGCTCACAGTTTCTTGACTCCTAGTCCTCACAGAATGACCACAAACACAGGAGTGCAAGTGAATGTTTTCCAAGAGGCTTGAGAAAATTTACATTAGTGCATCAAATTAATGCAATTAATTTGACGTAGATGTCAGTCTGGCTCAGTTGACCACCAGCAGCCCCAGATTACCCCATGTTTGCTTCACTAACAGACAGCACTTCTGACAATGCAGCATATCCCCAGCACCCTTTAATATCCCTTGAGCATCGATATAATCCCCCTTGACAGCCTCTGCTTCAACTTCATTTTGTGGCAGAGAATTCCACACTCCCATCACTTACTGCGTAAAGATTTTTTCCCCAAACCTCCCATTTAAATAATTTCTGTTCTGTGTTCTGGTTACTGACTCACCAACCAATGGAATTAATGGATTACTGTTTACCAACTCTGCTTTAACATTAAAAACCTTAACGGCCCATTTGGCACCAACCGCACCTATGCCACAGGTAAAACACCAATGCACTGGTTCCTGAGAAGGACTTAAGTCGCTTGTCGAAAGTCAGTATCACATTCCTGAATTATATTGTAGTTACCTAAGTCATCTCTCTTTAAATTCCACATTGCAGTTTGCTCCTTAAGAGAGTAGCTGAACAACTCTGATGAATCAGCCGGTGCTGCTGTGCACAATAATGTGACAATTCTCAATGACTAAATCCTGTACAGTGTAACTGGCCTAATGCGTCACACTGGACACATGATGCCTAGTTTTATACCACAGGGTTAAAGAAACACACCTAAATCAGCACAAACTTGACTTTTATTATGAGAATCAATTATAATACATATATATGATGCAACTTATATAAGTTGTACAGTCTTTGTGACTGTACAACTTGCAGCCATCAGTTTTATCTGACTGGATTAGTTTAGCTACAATCATTGCTGGTGTAAATACTATAGAATTACCTTGTTCTGCTGACTCCAATGCCAAATGCTGGGTGCTTGCATTCCCAAACTAGGAAAAGGATCTCTGCCAACTATAATTAGTCCTATTAAGACCAGCTTGAAGACTGATAGGAAAGATGCTAGATGCCTGTGAAAAACAGAAAAACAGAATGATGATCAAGTCAAAATGCATCAACATATCAATATATATCACCACTGCCTGACACAGACACGCGTCCATTTTGCTACACGGCTCAAGGACACACGTAGTCGCAGACACCCATTACAACAACATCATCAAAATTACATTTGTAATGTGCCTTTCATGTCGGGAAGACGCCCCAAAGCGCTGAACAGTCAGGGATCAGGTCCTTGCAATTATAAGGAATGGAACAGATGAAACAGCAGCAGTACTGTCCCTGGAGGATAAAGAACCAGTATAATTGCTCCACAACACGTTACAGCATTTGACCTGTGCTTCATTTTGTAGTCAACAAATTTGGTGCATACTGTTATGCAAGCAACACTCTTTACTTTACTAATCGAATTCTGATTGCTCTATACAGTAGAAAAGATGAAGCTTGATATTGGTTATCTCTCTCACTCCTTGGTATTAACTAATTAAATCTCATGACAGTTTCTTTCCAGGCCCACAACTGAATTCATTGTTAACACAGCATTGAGGATTTACCCTTTGTAAGCCAGACTCTGCTTCTTGCTCTTCAATCTATTGACCGGGGGAATTGAATCATACAATTACAGCCAATAAGAGCTGGGGTGCCAGTAAGAGCAATACAATAGTCTTGCAGCCCCTGCACTTTGCAGAGGAAAAGTATCAGCCTGGATTCCTGTTATTCATTGCTATTCAGTGGTCCATGAAGGAAAGTATCCATGTATGTAGGGGGTGTGCTAGAAATGGTGTGTGCATGTTTCAAGATCCTAACTCTTGTATTCAAATCCCTGCACTCCTCTGCACCCCCCGACCTCTCTGACCTCCTCTCTCCTCAAAATAGTACCCGTTGCCTCCGTTCCTCCGGGTCTGGGCACCTGCTCATCCCCCGAGTCCTCCGCTCCACCCTCGGCGGCCGTGCCTTCAGCCACTATGGCCCGAGGGTCTGGAACTGCCTTCTTCACTCCATTCGTCTCGCTCCCTCCCTTCCCATTTTCCGGTCTCTGCTGAAGACCTTTCTTTTCGACCGCGCCTTTGGTCACCTTCCTCCCCCTCCCCCCGGCTCAGCCCTGGGATTCGTTACTGTAAAGCGCTCTGAGAAGCAGTCTGGCGTGAAGGGCGCTATATAAATCCAAGTTGTTGTTGTTGTTGTACATATGCGTGCGACTGTGTCTGTGTATAGATCCCACTTTCAACATCTCACCATTCAAAGCTACGTTTTTACGCTCATCACTCAAAGACAATAATATGTTTTTTAAAGTGATTATCCATAGAGAATAAATTATAGAATAGCTTTAAAGAACATACCTGTAGAGAGGTTGTGGAAGATAATTTTCTCCCTCTATGTGGATGTCGGGATACCGCTGGTTAATAACCCGCGTGTATTCCTCAAACACCCTCCTGTATCCTCAGGAGATACTGCAAGGGAAAGAAACAGGAAATAGATCTCTAAGTTCAAAAGAAATGACACCAAAAAGGCCTGAAAATCAACGTGTGGCCAATGCTGGGTGTAAGGAGATTTTAATTTTAAAAATTCCATTCACTAAATCAAGCAAGACATTTATTATTAGCCTCGATTTACATAACAGGTTAGGTAAAATGCCAAACAATGTACATTAATTCACTTATATATTTTGTATCCAGGGAAAGCAAACTCAGTCACCTAACGGCAGATTGCCACTAACAGCACTTAGCACAAGCATATATTACATGGAGTCCTGTAACAAATTCGTCAGAGCATTCGCCTCACAAGTGAGAGGAGCTGGGTTCGATTCCCGAACGGAACAAAACCTTACGCAAGTTTCCTTACTCCATACGCTTGTGTTTACTTAGCAATAAATAGGAACCTGATTGTTAGTTGATGGCGGATCGCTTTCCGCTTTCCGATAATAATCCCTAAAAAAAAATGGTCACTCAACAAATTACATTTGTATAGCACCTTTCACTTCCAGAGGACGTCCCAAAGCACTGGGTCACTCAATCTACCTCTTTGTGGGTCACTGCTGCCTTCAATTGGCTGCCGCACTTCATCTACATAAATATATATAGTCAATTCACTCTACAATATATTCTGTGAAAGTGCTTTGAGACGTCTCAATGACGCAATAAGGCGCTATATCAAATGCAAGGATTATTACTGTTATTATTACAGATGTCTTTGCTATCCTTACAATGCTGGGAGATATGCCAGAGCGCTCCCCTAGTATTCTGCTGGACTGTCAGCAAAAAGTTATAAGTCCTGTGTCGATAGAGTATGAACCAACAACCCTCTGACAAAGGCGGGTATGTTAAATGATTGAGCCAGGCTGAACCTAATAGAACTCTAAGAGCTCAGCTGCCTGTGCTGTTTAATTTTGACCTAATCCCCTGAATGCTGACCCACAGCATTTCTAACAGGATTGATTTTAAAAAAATTACAAGTTCATGTTTGCTGCAGTAGATGAATAGTGGGATAGAAAAGCTGTTCAGACCATTAGAGACTGATCAGGTTAAAGTAAGAGAAAAATCCCCAGCGTCAATAAAGTATTTTAATCTGTTTACTGTACTGAGTGCCGTTATTTACAGTGTAAAGTTACCCACTTCATCCAAGTGTAGGCAAGTCCTTGGCTTCCTATAAACACTAATAAAGGCCCCAATTTTTAATATTTTTACCATGTTAAAAGTTCTATATGAGCATTTATCATCTCGCTTTATATTCTGAATAAGCAGCAAAATGTTTTCGAGGGATGATGCTCTCTGCAAAGCACAACAAATGCACTTTACACCATTTAATCCAAACAAAATACAAATCTTTGGCAAAGAAGTGTCAGTTTGGTTCAATTGGTAACCCACTTGCCTCAGAGTTAGGTGGGGCTTGAACCCACATGTATTCTATGCTGACACTCTGGCGCGGTGCTGGGGATGTGCTGCATTGTAGTGCTTGCAATGAGACGTTAAATCTGCCTGTTCAGGTGGATGTTAATGATCCCATTCAAAAGTGCTATTCAAAAAGAGAAGAAAATTTCTCCCGGTGTCCTGACCAACAATTCTCCCAAACAAAATTGGTCACTCACTTCATAGCTCCAAGACGCATGAAAGCGCTATATAATTATAAATTGTTTTGGGATATTGCAAAGTGGCTGCCGCTTTCAAAACACAGTCAAAACTCTTTACAGTATATCATGTTTGATAAAGTGACACATAATACACTTGTTAGCAAAATTGAAGCCCGTGGGATTAAGGAAACAGTAGCAGCATGAATCCAAAATTGGCTGGGCGACAGAAAGCAGAGGGTAGTGGTGAAAGATTGTTTTTCAGAAGGGAGAAAGGTATACAAAGGTGTTCCCCTAAGGGTCATTATTAGGATCACTGGGCTTTTTGATATATATTAATGATCTGGACTTGGATATGGAGAACCAAATTTTAAAGCTTGCAGATGTCACAAAACTTAGAAACGTAATGAACAGTGAAGAGGATAGTAGCAGACTGAAGGAAGACACAGACAGGCTGGTGAAATGGGCAGACGCATTGGAAGAGGAATGAGGAAAAGCAATATAAGATAAATTGTACAATTTTAAAGGGGGTGCAGGAAAAGAGAGACCTGGGAGTTCACATACATTTTATAAATAAAGGCATAGAGTGTAAGAGCAAGGAAGTTATGTTGAACCTTTATAAATCTGGCTACGACTCAGCTGGAGTTTATAAACTTATAGGTTTCTATAAGATCCCCTCTAATTCTTCTATATTCTGGAGAATATAGGCCCAAATTGGTCAGCCTATCCTCGTAACTCATCCCCTTCATCCCTGGTACTAACCTAGTAAATCTACGCTGCACCGCCTCCAAGGCAGGTTCATACTTCCTTAAATAAGGAGACCAAAACCGCAGTATTCCAGGTGTGGTCTCACCAGCGCCCTATACAGTTGCAGCAAGACTTCCCTACTCTTATACTCTAATCCTTTCATAATGAATGCTAACATACTGTTCGCCTTCCTAATTGCTGTTGCCCCCTCAGACTAACTTTCTGTGATTGGTGTACAAGGACACCCAAGTCCCTCTGGACACTAACACATTCCAATCTCTCCCCTTCTGAAAAATAACCCGCTCTACTGTTTTTGCTACCTAGGTGGATGACTTCGCACTTCGGCAAAAGAACCAGAGGGGAGAAGAGAATTTTTTTTTTGGCCAGACTTATTAGTATGGAATGCGCTGCTTGAAAGGTGGTGGAAGCAGATTCGATAATAGCTTTCAATAGGGAATTAGATAAGTAATTGAAAACAAAAAATTGCAGGGTTATGGGTTAAGATTGGGGGAGTGGGACTAGTTGGTAGCTCTTTCAAAGAGCTGGCACTGACACGATGGGCCGAATGGCCTCCTTCTGTGCTGTAAAATTCTATGTGAAGTGAGAAGTCCTCTTGTTGTAAACAATGCTATACCAAATGTAAGGATTATTCATGTAAACCTTTTCCTGAACATATAGAAATAAGTTGGAGCTATGTAGAAACAAACCAAGCAGTTGAACAACTGTTAATCAACAAGCTGGAGCCCTATTTGCTCAGTGGTTAAATGAACGTAGGGTCCAGCACTGAGCTACCAGAGCGGGAAAGATCCACATTCAACTGCTGCTGTGTGCGGAGTTTGCTCTCAGCCAGGGAGACAAACATGACAAACCACAATAAAATTCAGTTTCTTTTAAGACTCCTTCCCAGTGACATGCAGCTGTGTGGGGAGCTAACTGATACCAACACATCAGCTTGGGAATTTTCAGAAGCACCCAGCACCCCTGCCTCGGAAAGAAGCTAACCTTGCGTCCAACCACACAGCGCTGACAAGGAAGTCGTTTGGTCAGCAGTGAAAGATGCAAATTTGTGTTTTTCCAAAATCTTAGAAGGATGCACTGTTTAATAAATATCTATCTAAATAGAAATGGTCACCACTGGAACAGTGCTAGCTTTGTAGAGGAAGAGGAGTAGGCTATTCAGCCCCTCAAACTATATAAGGTCATTATAGTTTGACAAAATGACCTTATAGTTTCTTACACAATCTACTGTAGGAGTAACCAACATCAATTTTAGAAGGCATTACGTAAGATCATCTTAAACAATATAAAATATCCTAAGATTCAGCTAACGTTTCTTATTTGTGACTGTTTATAGTTTGACTATTTGTGGCAAACAGCAGATTTTACCCACATCTCTCTCATGCACTTCTGATGCAGACACACATACAAGAATGCACTGAACGGATGGAACCAATCAAAGTCTTGGCTGGGGTTTGTACAAAGTGTTCGCAAGCAAGGAAAATCATCAAAGGAACAAGTGAAAATATGAGCAATGTACAAGGAAAGTTCTGCACCACTTTATAATCTGCTTTTCCTCTGGTTTTCCACTGGGTCCACCTCTATTTATGTTCCAATATGAGGCTTGTTCAAATAGCTCTCCTTGCTGTTAGGTGTCAGACTGGCTCAGTTGGTAGCAACCCCTGCCTTAGAGTCAGAAGGTTGTGAGTTTAAGCCTTTGAACTCAGTCTAGGCTGACACTCCAGTACAGTGCTGGGGTGTCCTGCATTGTCCTACAGATGAGACGTGGCATTATTCGAAAAGAGAAGTGAATTTCCCCCGTGTCCTGGCCAATCTCCCAGACAAAATTGGTCCTTTACTTCATGGCTGTTTGTGGAGCATTGCTGTGCGCAAATTGGCTGCCGTGTTTGTCTACAAATATACAGCGACTACAACACAGTAAAATCCAGTGAAAAGCTTTGAGATGACTCATTGACATGATTAGGCCCTTGTCCCAAATGCAAGGATTTATAAACAACCGTAAGAAAAAAAGGACAATGCTTATGGTTTTTATAGTGCCCTATTAAGTCAATATTCCTCAAAGCACTTTACAGTAATTACAGTGAAGTGTATTTGTGTGAAATAAATAATTGCATTAGAAATAGCTCCTTTCAAGTTGGGAGGATGTCTAACGTGCTTCACAGTAAACAAAAATGACTGAATTTTTTTTACAACCGAAGCAACCATTTACTCCAGCACGATGCCACAAACAGCCATGGGGTGAATGGCCCATTTATATATTGGAAGGATACCAGGATTAATTCCTTTCACTTATATAATAGTGGCCATGAATCTCTTAACACCCACCCGACAAACGGGTGGATGTGACCTTGGTTTTAACATCTCATCCAAAACACGGCACCTTCTACAATGCAACGTTTTCTTGCTTTCCACCTCGGAAAGGAGGGAAATTAATTTGTACAGTCCTCTTTCGGGCAGCGGAGTGTAAAGGAGGAAGGGTTGTTCTGACTGTCATCTAGAAATAAGATGTTTTTTCAATGACATCTATCCAACTAATTCAAATCTAATGACCACATTCACTCCATCAAGTCACATATTATATGGAGTATATATATTTGTGGAGTCCTGTAGATCAATGGTTAG